CGAGTCTCTGCTAGCAATCTGTACGCGTCAACCAAGCAGAGCGTCAATCGTTCTAACCTCCGTCAATCGTTCTAACCGAATGACGGAGGAGGTGGACTGGAGAGAACTCAGAACGAGCCTCAAGCCACTGAACCGGGCATGGGTCGCTGGTCATCTTCCCCCCGTAAATCCCGCGAGGAAGAACCAATACAGGCAGGCATACACACCGGCCACGCAATCGGAACACACCACTCCCGCCTGGGCAGCGCAGCAGAAGCTCCTATACGCGATAGACTAGGCGAAATGCCGACTGACATGTGCCACCTAATGGACTGCATATTTCTCGGCACAGAGACGTCAATGCTTCATACGAGTGGTAACAGTGACTTCACTAATTGGTAAACACCCAAAGACTGAGTTCCATGATGTAATGACCTGACATACTGCTAGTCTCCACGCAATGTAATCACATCAATGATGTCATTAAATCATTGCATGAGCAAAACATCAAGCAAGCGCAAAATGACTCTAGCCGGCGAGCCGCTCTACAATACCGATGCTGATCATCTGCTGTGGCGGACGGCGGCTTTACCGGCAGCCTCACCGCTGCGGTAGGCATACACACATCCACGCACCGCGTGACCGCAGCTCCGACCGCCGCGCTCCCTACGACACCGGCCCCAGAGCGGCGGCAGCCACTCGGCAGATATGCTCAGGGCCACATGTGCAGAGCAGGGCACGCGGGACACGAGAGACAAACAGGACGACGTCGATAGCGCAGCCATCGCTCCGGTAAACAGCGCGGCAGCACAGCCGAGGCATGCCGCTGGGAAACGCCTGCGTGGGGGTGCTGCTCGCTAGCAAACTTGTCAAACGAGCGGTCCTCAGCAACCGCAGGTTCACGCGGGAAATGTCCACATTTTACAACGAATAACATTGCCACAGAGCTATGTCAGCACGACAAACATACGTGCATGGCGCCGTTGCCAAATATTCGTCCACGAGCTAGCAACCATTTTTTAGCATTATCAACCGTGCTTTTTCCTCTCACGACGCAGGACGCAGGCCACAGGGGCCCTCTGTCCGTTGCCACACCGGCGGTGTCCTGCATGCCCCCTGGCGTTCCTCCTGCCCTGCCATGCACATGGGCCCAGCACACTCCACTGGCTTTGAGCGCTTGCCAGACGTCCGCACAAATATGTACGTGGTAAACGGACGCAGCTGCCCAGTCAGCGGTGTGCCGTGACGGCGCCTGGTCCAGCAGGCCCACCGGGGGCAGCGAGTTCACAGCAGCGGGGATGGGATCGCGTGACCCTTCACCCCACATTACGCTGGTTTCGCCGAAGGCATTGGGCCTGCTAAAACTCGCGTGACCCTTCGCCCCAAATTACGCTGGTTTCGCCGAAGCCATTGGGTCTGCCAAAAACTAAACCTATCAGCGTGGAATTGATTCCCAAACGCACCTGTTAAAAACCAAACAACTTTCGTGGGAGTGAAACATGGTCATGCTCGCGATCTCACTGTCTTCGATCGTTACTTCACCAGCTAAAACGCCATGTTCCGAGTGCCCTTATGCGTGCTCGATCGGGGTTGGAAGTTCTCATGTTGAGTTAACGACCTCCAATGTACTAGGAGGCAATGATCAAACAACGTTATAATGATAAATAACAATGATGCTGGCGGTACCCAATATCTCGGGCTGTGCTCGTTTGGAGTACGACTGCTAGTGTGCTACAACTTTTCACACATTTCACTAAAAAAATGTCAGTCCATTGATCCGCAGCCCCTTTAACCGGTCGCCAGCACGATAACTGCTGGTGATCCAGGAAAGATATGTACAAAAAATGCACGCGACGTTATCCGGCCTACTAGGGATCTTTTCTGGCGCATTCCAGTTTTGCTGGGCACATTATGTTCTGTTTTTGTGTTTGTTGTTGATCTCTTTCGACGAAAAGGAAGCCTTCTGAAGCTTGATTCACACCTTGGTACCCTTTCTCAACCGCAGCCCTTTGCAATGTGGCGGAGCCATCTTGTTTCCATTCTGGTTATGCAGTGGATTAGGCGACGACATGGACAGATTGCAACACTCAACTCAGCGTTTTGTTACTATTAGTATTTTGTAGATGAAGTATTTGTGGCTGTTTTTTAATATTAACGGGCAATTAATGGGTGTCAGCTCCTCACTGCGGCAGCTGGAGGCCTAACCGGAAGTCCGTGAGAAACCCGACCGGAGAGACGCAAAGTCGCCATCTGTGTTGTGTGTTGGGGCAAGGGGAGGGGCACAGCGAACGCCCCCTGTGCCGCCGTTAGCTCTGCTCACCTCACAGGCTGCTGAGGACGGCTCCAGCGGGGCCACCCACATCGGCGTCACGGCTTTCACTGAAAACTGAACGCGGCTTAACGGAGTTAAAACGACACACCCCTCCCCCCCCATCTTAAGTGTCGTCCCCCTCGCCAAGCCGTCCGACCGGCTGGCCACGTCGGCAAGTAGTGGCGCTTCGATGACCCTCAGGGCAGACTCCCTTCGTTTATCAAAGTGATCGGTTCACTTAGCGGGCGTGAGGAGGTCCACCAGAAGCTGTACCGTCCCACCGACCTCGGACCACGGTGCGCTGACACGCCACGGGCCGCCGGCTTCGCGGGCAGGTCGGCCGCCCCACCATTGGCCAGACATCAACCGATCAGTCCCAGGCGCGGTTCATACTGAAGGACGGCGTCCTCCTCCCGCGTTTCAGGTGGCAGGCGGTGTTCAGTCACACCGCTTCGCCGCTCCCACCCACCCACGCTTCGTAAGCCCTATACCTCACGCGCGACAGACACATCCGGAGAATCTCGTCTCCTCGTCATGTTTGTCGGTGGCAGCCGGATCAGACGCCGGTACCGGACGATAACCAAATGTTTTGCGCGTCACGGGGGGCGGGGCCTTTCCTGGTGAGCACGCCGCATCCGGTTACGACCCTGGCGCGGCTATTTGCTCTGCCTCTAATAGTTCTCGCCCCAACAGCACAGAGGGCAGGTGGCGCAGCGTCGTGATCGTAGATCAGTCACGCGGGCCCAACCCACGCGGCGGTGGGCGCCGGCAGACGCTGCCGCCCTGGGGATATCTTTTTCCAGGTCGGTGACCTGGTTCGCGAATGTAAACTGGCCGTCAACCTCGACTCTCAAGAAGGTCGGGGTGGTGCAGATCTCGAGGGTGTGACTACGAAGATCCATCGTCGGTTTAACCCTGTCAACGCTCTCCTTTGGGTCAAGAGAGAAATTGATAGCACATTTGTTGATGCATGGTGACACTTCCCAGCGCCTCAGCTTGACCGAGGCAGCCCTAGCGCCGTCGGCTGCTGCCGTCGATGATGCGGCCGGGGGCCAGCAGGGCAACGACATCTGTATAAAGGCATATTCTGGTGTTCGAAGAACATGCCGTCGCCGATGTCACTGGCGTAGATCAGCGAGAGTAGGGGGCAGAGGGGCGGGGGACAGAGAAGGTCGCGCGCCACACGACTCTGGCCCAGCGGTCGGTGACGAAGGCCTTCACCCAGCAGGCGACTTATCCTGGTATCCCGAGGCCATGCTGGGCGAAGAGGGCCACGCACCATACACGAGATCACAGGCGCAGATGAAGTCGGGAAAGACCAATACCGCTCAGTCGCGCTCTTTTGCGCGGAATGCGTCGAGAATGAGGCTGTGATTTTCCTTATTCGACCGACGGTCGATCGTCCCGGCAGACTCCTGTTTGGTTCGTGTTGATCTTTCGCTTGTTCTCAAACCCGTGTTGCAGTCCTACCTACACGAATCACTCTGCAAGCCCAACCACAGTTGATAGCAAATCAATCAGCTCATCGACTACAATTGCCAATCCGAACTAGATTCGGAGCCGATTCGCTCTTAAGCAAGGCATTTCGTGAAATAAGGTGCAAATTTCAAAATTTTCGGCGTCAGAACTGAAAATGCCGAAAGACCAGGACCTTCAGAACTCTCCTGCGTTTATCAGTCGACCTCGGTAAGCTAAATGTTCATGAGCGGTATCTCCAACGCATCGGTTAAACCCTAATTGGTATCGATTGCCTACGGTCTCTGGCTCCATTGCGTTATCTTTTGGCATAATCTACCTTATCACAGCGAATACTTCTCACCACTTGTTCAGGCCTCACCTGTTCCCCGCCGCCTACGACCTTCTGTCGGTATGCAGGCTTTACTTCTGACGACGACATTGCCATAAAGGCAGGATGAAAATAAATCGCGAATGATGAGGCTAGAATGATAGTAGCATTACAAATAACGTATGAACCTTATCATTACATGTCGTACGTATCATCCTACCTCTGTCCTCGCAACCCACCTTGAGACAATAGGAGGCTTACGTTTGAAGCTGCCAGCCATTGACCGAGCTGCCAAACCAGGCCTTCTGGAAACGGCGCCTACAGCTCCTCTCCGGCAACGTTGGCTGACGGGGCGGTGACAACATGGCGACGATATAGTCCAAATAACTCGAACTAGATCAAATGGGGGGGGGGGCAGGCTTACGTGCAGGCGGACCCTATCCGCCAGCACCAGGGCCTCGCACAGCTGCGTCGTGAACCCGAACCTGCCGGGGTACAGAGTCCCCGACCCCTGACCTCAGGGGGTCCGCGCTGGTCGCGGCCACCTTTCGCTGGTGTTTGTGTTTGTGCTAGCCGCGGCCCCCCACCCCCACCCCCACCCCCCAGAGCATTCGATCACAGACCCCTCGCTGGCGCGGCCCTGAACCGGACCGTTGACAGGAGGGGGTCAAAAGGTCCACCGGTCGGCGGGGGGTCGCACGGTCAGCCCGCCAGAGGAACGTTCAAACGGCGGGCGCGTCAGAGCTCTGCCGGCAGGAGGGCCGGTCAGACCGAACCACCACCAGGCGGAGCTACCATGCCCGCCAGGCAGAGGCAGTTCATGTCAGTCATCCCTGGCAAAGCCCACCTGATCGCAGCTGGTTTCTTGTGCCCCACCGCGTCACTTTTTGTGTGGCCCCGGACCTGTCGGTGGGCGCATCTCACCTGCTCCGGGGTGCAGCTGTCGGACCAGGTCTGGATCAGCTTGCAGAACATGGAGTACGGCCCGCAGCACTGCTCCTTCCTCAGCTTGCCGTAGACAGAGAGCTCGGCGTACGTCATGCCTGCCGCCGGCAGCCGCGGCGTTACCGCTGCCACTCACGCTGATACCGATGGCTCACAGCCATTCGCTACACAACCGCACTTTCCGACTTCCGAGAGCTTGATGAGCTCCGCAAGGAACGGATTTCACGATCACATGTGGCTACACTCAGCGGGCCTCGGTCAACAGCGGCGGTGTGGCCTTTTATGTTGACCTCTCGCTTCACAGGCACTGACCGTCTCACCTCCAAGAAAGTCGTGTCAACCGACCCTTCCAGACCTTGTTGTCCAGCCTGCGCAACGTCCGGTCGACCAAACTTACCTACGTCCCGCTGACCGAACCTTATCCACATCCCGCCGACCGAACCTTCTCCACGTCCCGCCGACCGAACCTTACCCACGCCCCGCCGACCTAACCTTCCCCCACGTCCCGCCAACCGCACCTTCCCCACGTCCCGCCGACCAAACCTTACCCAAGTCCCAGTGGACAACGCTCTGACTTCCGATCCTTCTCCACACCCCGTTTTCCCGTCCCGGCTTGTGCCGTGTGCTGCCGTGTCCGGTGTTATGTGCGCGTGTGCCGTGGCAGATGCCTCACCCATGTCCTCCTCGTCGGTCTGCGCCAGCCGGCCGTCCGCCAGCGGCTCCAGCTCGGCGGTCGGCGGCGCCTCCATGATGCCGTCCAGTGAGGCGAAACCGAACTTGCGCCGTGCGTACCGCAAAAACGACTGGCGACGACAGGTCTGGTCAGCGGAACGCGGGCAGATGCATAGACGTCAATACAGCAAGAGTGCGGTAACCAGCAATGACCAGACGTGATATCTCGTAGCACGGCATGAACAGCGGGGTTTTCCAATCCGCAGTGTGGAACACTACGCGCTTTGCAACCCTGGCAGACAAGCGGGCTAATGTGCTGCATTGGGCTGAGATGGGCTGAGACACGAGGCGGGCTAATGTGGGAAGACCTCTCGCAGCGCTCAGCCAGAGCCCATCCCTCCCGGCGCCCATCAGCGGAGACAGCCGAGTGGAGTCCAAGCGAGAAGACCCCGGCGGCAGACGAGGCGCGGCGGCACTCGCCGTGCGGCAGACACGGCGCAACGGCACTCACCTTGAGATCGGTCTTGGAGATGCCGCCGATGGGGTTGATGTCGGCGCTGCTGCAGTCGTACTTTGTCATGTAACCGCGCAGCGACTCGTCCACGTTGGCCGAGCCCAGCACCAGCAGGCCGCCCGGCTTCGAGCGCACCCACAGCGTCAGCTGGGCGAACAGGTAGGCCAGCACCATCCGCAGCCGCGCCTGCAACACGGACGCACTGCTCTGACTCGGCTGCAACACAAAGCTGGTGGGTCGGCCACACGAGTCGCCATTTCATCCAAGCCTGTACACAGATGTACTGCCCAGCCTCGGCTGCGACATGAACCACCGTCCTCTGGTGCACCTGCCACACAAACCACCATCTTCAGCCACGTCCAGGACAGTAACCGCTATCGTCAGCCGTCTCTGCAACACAAGCTGCAACCATCGGGCGCATGTGCGACGCAGATCGCTTCTCATAACGACATCGGCCACGTCACACAAGTGCCCGCTCTCACACCGGCATCTCATCTCATTTTAGTCATCTCGTCACATCACATCGCCGGCTATCAGTCACACTGGCAGCGGCCGTCGTCCACCGCCACATCACAACGCAAAAAAAAAACACACGCGCGGACATCGCCGGCTACGCCCGCGCGCCGTCGTCGGCCGCGCCCCGCCAGATGACAGCAGCGGGCCGGCTCTGAGCGGCGCCGTCGTCGGCCGCGCCCCGCCAGATGACAGCACCGGGCCGGCTCTGAGCGGCGCCGTCGTCGGCCGCGCCCCGCCAGATGACAGCAGCGGGCCGGCTCTGAGCGGCGCCGTCGTCGGCCGCGCTCCGCCAGATGACAGCAGCGGGCCGGCTCTGAGCGGCGCCGGCCCGGCCAGCGCCCGGCCGCCACTGACCTGGACGTTCTGGAGGGCGAGGTTCTCACGAGGCGTGCCGCCCTTGGCGCGGAACTTGGGTACCAGGCCGGTGGCGGTGGTGAAGATGCCCAGCACAGCGGACACGGCCACGTCGATGGCGATGCTGAGGTGGTAGCTGGACAGGGCGAGCGCATACGGGACGTCAGACACCACGCCGGCTAGCGGGCCGCCGTGCACTGCCACTCCCCAGCGCTGGACCTCGGAAGGCACAACGGCCCTGTGGCTGGACGGGGACCAGACCGCGGACCCACCGCTGACGGAGGCCGTTAAGGCAGCACACGTGGCTGGGCACCGCGACATACTTGAAGGTCGAGGTTCTTCCTGGATCATCACTGGGTATGACATACGCGATCGGATAGCGCTGACGTCAATATGTCACTGGTCTGCAGTAAGCCGGGGATAGCACACACGACACATGTCACAGTCACTATCCATTCAAACAGCAGTGCGTGTGAACGCGTCGTGGGGACGTGACACCCAGCGACGGCGCGCATCCGCGGCGACCAGAGAAGAAGCGGCTGCCAGCGCGCCGGCGGCGGACCCCGGGCCGTCACCTTCCGACCTCGGCGGCCAGCTGGGCGGCTCGGGCGCGCGTCTCGGCCGACGAGTTCTCCGAGCCCATGTAGCAGGTGGTGAAGAGCCGGCCGCACAGCTCGCGCGGCTCGGTCGGCGTGTACTCGGCGTCGCCCGTGATGCGGCGCACCGTCTCCAGCACGCGCGAGTCTGGGGACGGCCGCCGGTCATGCCTCGCCACCAGTGGCGGCCGGCAGGCTGGCTGTAGTCAGGCTGGCCGAGCCCGGCTGTAGTCAACCATGCAGAGGGCGCTCCCGGTGATGTCACTCCAACGTATGGCTGCATGAGCCGCTGGACGCATCCATTCCACGCTCCGGCCGCCATTATCTCATGGCAGCACGTCATGCGACGCTCTAAACAGCTCTGAGCCCACAGCACAACGCAGGTATCAGAGTACCAGCGAATGCGCCACGGGCGCACAAGAGTACAACAAACGCCCTCATCACGCCGTGCAATTATAGCGTAATCTGAGAGCAGGCATCCAGTCCGGGCCGACGCGGATGCTCCGACGAGTTCGAGGCCACCTCACCTTTCTTCACGCTGGCGACGACCAGCCGGCACATGGAGGCGACGAGGCAGGCGGTGCTGGACGAGTCGACGCCGCCGCTGAGGGGCAGGAAGAAGCCGCCCTGGCCGCTGCGGCGCAGGTAGTCCCAGAGCCAGCACGCCGGGCCCAGCGCGATCTCCTCCTCCGGCGTGTGGTAGACCGGCTGGACGCGGGCAGCGGGCCGGCCGTTAGGGCAGAGTGCAGACCGCAGACCCACCGCCGACAGAGGCCGTTAGGGCAGCACACGTGGCTGGCTAGGGGGCCGACCGCAGACCCACCGCCGACGGAGGCCGTTAAGGCAGCACACGTGGCTGGACAGGGACCAGACCACAGACCCACCGCCAATGGAGGCCGTAACTGCAGACATGACAGTCGATGCATATGGTGCGTCTTGCGCAGCTTATATCATCCCAGTAAAAGTATCAGCCTTATCGCATAGCCCGTCCTGGTGGCTCAGTTGCTTGGAGCGACGGCCTTCCGATCCACCCAGCCGTGGCAGGGTAGGTTGGAGTCGATTTCGGCGCTCGCTATTTGTCGTTGACAGGTATGACCTGCGGTCGGTGGTAGCGGCCGGGCTAAAGATCAGGTGACGGCAGAGGGCAGGGCGGACAATGTGCGCGATCGGATGGTAGGGTTCAGGGCTCACACAACAGGCACTGCTTAGGGTGAGATCTGATCCCAGAAATCCATCCACTCAAAACATTTCAGGCTAAATTTTTAGTCTACCAGCGCCAGAGATTGGCGGCGCGCCCGGGCAGCGTTTCCGATCAACCACTTCCCTCCACCATCGGCCAACAAACTCTCAACGCCTTTCTGCCAGCACCACCTCCTGACCAGCGGCTGCTGCCGGCGCCCGCTCGTCGGTGCCGGTGGCGCCACCTGCCTGCACGGCCGTCCAGGAGGGCAGCGCCAGGTCCCCGTCCCGCGAGAGGCTGAAGTCGGTCGTGACGCGCGGGTACGAGGGTGCCGACGCCGCCTGCCGCTGCCGCGAGCGGACCTGGTTGCGGTAGGTGCGGATCTCCTCCAGGTCGACGGTGGCCGTCACCACCTCCTGCCGGGTCGGAATGGGAGGTTACCCTCTCGTCGCGAGGAGCGAGGCGGCCGGGGCGACGCAATGGTGCCCCGGCTCACGCGGTAGGCACGGTGGGACCATGAGAGCTGGGAGTCCCGGGATGCAGCGTCCCAGATCCTTCGAATTTGTGTTGAAAATGGCACCCCCAGGCAGGACTAGTTTTCTGTCCTCGCCTCCCTGTCTCGTGTCCTAATTTTACGACTCACAAATGCTGAGTTCTGTTGCACCGACACGCGTTTAGCACGTTTTTTAATAATATAATTATGCGCAGTATTGGGAAGGAAATGCAATTGCAGTTATAGATATGCTTATTTCCACCTCTCAGCTTTCACTTTCCACAACAATGCCTTTTTAACTGGGACTGTCAGCTCTGACACCCTGGCGCGATTTGAATTTCGGGTAGCTGGTGGAATGGTGCATTCATTCGCAGCAATAGCGCAGCAGCTCACGATGAGTTCGAAAGAAATGACTCGGCTGCCGGCAAAGAAGACAACTGTCCAACCGTTATCAGGTTTACGCGCGTTTCTATCCTGCAACACACACACACACACACACACACACAAAACAGTGCACTTCGACCAAATTTTCAGCTTCCGAAGCGTCACCCCGTCCGTTCAGGCCGTGTCGAGCCGGTGCCGTCTCGCCAGCACTCACCACCTCCTCCAGCGCGAACTGGCGGCCCACGGCGGCGAACTGGCCGTTGACGCAGATGCTGGCGCAGCCGTTGAAGTAGAGCCGGTCGCCGTCGCCGCCGCGCATGTTGCTGAAGAGGTAGCAGCCGCCGCACTTGGCCGAGGCCGAGCGCACCAGCTCGAACGCCACGTACGCCTTGCGCAGCTCGAAGTGGGAGCCACTGCCGTTCAGCAGGATCTCGGCGCCGTCCAGGGTCTGCGGCACGTGCGAGCTGGCGTCCGGGCCGGGTCAGGGCACGACACGCCCGTGAGGCTTGAGGCATACACAAACGACATGGGACGCCTGCGAGACGGACAGTGCGGCCGACGTGGGCAGTCTGCGGTCCGATGTGAGCACCGCACGCAAAACACGGCCCCACCTCCAGAGCCGGGGCGACACAGTTGTCGACGTTAGACCAACCACGGGCGGCGCACAGAGACAATCGCCGACGAACACGTCGGAAACGTGAAAGGACCGCGAAACCGCCAGCACCCCGGCCGCGCCCCGGTCAGCACCCACCTCTGCGGGCTCCAGAGCTCCTCGCAGATCTCGTAGCCGATGCAGGTGTCGCGCGTGCTGAGAAGTGCGTCACCGAACGGCACCGTCCGCTGGTCGGTGATGGCCGAGATCATGCGCGGCAGGTGGAGCGGCTCCGTCTCGCGGTCCTGCGGCGCACGGCACGGCGGCGACTCACGTCACTCGGCGGACGCGGGCGCAGGCGGGCCACAACTGCGGCGCCAGTGGTGACACAACACTCACTGATGTCTTACAGGGAAAGTTTTCTTGCGTTGAAATAAACGGTGGAAAAGTGCAAATCGAGGTACACCTTGCACCGTAATTGGTAATACGTTTGCACAAGCAACGCATATATTTGTGGTTTATTTAAAGGAATAGGGATCACAAAAACACCGTTTTTGAGTTGAACACGTAAAATGTTACGGTAAACCCTCTTCCCTCAGCTTGAATCATTCTTTTGCCAAGGAGTTTCTTCAAACAATTCTGCCGTTTTTTTCCCTTTGCGTTGAGAAAATTAAAGTCCAATACGAGATGGCGGTGTCTTTATTATGATGGCCATTGGGTTCATGTCTTAGTAAACCCAATCCTCGCATGGCACGTAAATATTACGCTTACTTTTAGCCACCAGGCTCTGCGGATAAGCTAGCCAAATTTTTAAAATTTGAACTTGATTCAAACCATGATTATATCGTCAACATTGCAAGAGAGAACGAAGATTCGAACCACTACGCGTGCAATCATGCAGCCTTATTGCAAGGACCGCGGCGCTCCCTCCCGTGAACTTCTCATGTGCCAGCCCAGCTCCCGCGGGCCTGCACGTGATGGTGGCGTACTGAGACAGTGAGCGTGTATCGTGCCGGCTTCCGGGGCCGTGCATCAACTAGGCGGTACGAGTTGATCGGGTGTGGGACAGGGAGACGGAACACGGTGCGTGCCGCCGGCATCGGTACCTCACAAGGCGAGAAAGGGGACGGGGACAGTGATGACTGCTTACAACTAAATAACAAAACAAATAACGACACCAAAGAAAATGAGAAGGACGAATGGAGTTACCCAGAACATCAGTCGTTCTCTCATGGCACACGGCGAACAGCTTTGATGCCCGCAGAATCAAAGCCATTACAAGCAAACAGGTGGTCAAGTCGTATAGACCACCGAGCCAAGGGTACCCCCAGGTTATGTGAACGGCTACATGTTCGGACTCCTCGCGTGCTGAACCACCAAATGATAGCCATCATGTCGAGTGTGCATTCCGTGCACTTTTCCCCGACCATCACCCGTGGCGGTGACCGAGTGTATGGTCGAGAAGCCCGCCGTAGTCGCCATGTGTTGGGCCTGGTCGGCCGTTACAGCATCATCCCGGTCCGGTCTGTCGTGACCCCGACCGCCACACGAAGCGGGGGGGGGGGGGGACGCTGAGGGCGTAGGGAGGGACCGGCCCGACCGACGCGCTCGGCTCGGGTGAAGTGGCACCATGAGAGACAGGACCGGAGCAATCGCAGTGGCCCGACGACGGCGCCGACGGGATGGCAACGGGCGGGACTTTGCACGGTGGCCTCACGTGCTTCGTCTGACTCAGATGGTTGATAATACCGTCGCCGCCCACACACTATCACGGATGAACACCTTATTATTTGATTTAATAGCATGCGATAATCTGGACGCGGCATGGGGAAAACAACCAAATAGGATGTGATAATCTGGACGTAGCATGGGGAAACAACTTTCATTTCACCCGATTATATTTAGGTATCAACATTGTTAATAACTTGAATCTGCATCCGTTAACAAGTTGATTCCATGCATAACAGGCAGGCATTACGATGTGCCGCCTCCCCGTCTCCCCCCCCCCCCCCCAACAAAAAAGCAGGTGTTGCCAAATTCGGCCAAATATCTTTAACGCATGTTCACTTCATTTCAGCATCGCCCGCAGTTGGTAAGACAACAATTGCCACTGCTATCCTATGCAGCTGAAAACTCAGCCATCAACTCAGTCATCGAGTAAGTCAAAACGAAAAATGGCGGGCATCTCATACTACCAATCATACGGCATTTGTGGACAACGGCTCGTGTTAGGACAACTAATGGCAAGGAAAATATGCAATTCGTCACGATGCTCTACGCTACAAAGTGTTGCATACTGCAACAAACGCCCTGCCGCGCCTTTTACGTCAACTGATATGCCGGGATTTAGAGGCCTTCTTCAGCAGACGGGAACTAACGATATTACCCCGGCAACGCTGGTAGAAAAGCGTCATTTGATGCTCTACGAGTGGAAAAGAACAACTTGTCACCTTTCGTTGTCATGCCGACGACGCCACATCTGTTCGCGCTGAGACGCCATATCGGTCCGCGTTGTAAATCCTGCCGCGGTATTGTTGACTCATACCGCGTGTGTCTATATTCTTTTGTTAGTATCGTTCCTACTGCAACCCCCCCCCCCCCCTCCCCTCTTATTTACCATTCCTACCCGCCACAGCAACTGGAACGCTGTCTGGAAATCCGACACCCAGCGATGGGTCAACGCACCGGGCAAGGCGTCTGTGGGCGCAAGCCGGGCCGGAAGGACAGTTCAGGGCACAGTCGGAAACAAGATCGTTAGGGGGCAAGGCGTCTGTGGGCACAAGCCGTGCCGGAAGGACAGCTCAGGGCACAGTCGGAAACAAGACCGTTAGGGGGCACGGCGTCTGTGGGCACAAGCCGTGCCGGAAGGGCGGCTCAGGGCACAGTCGGAAACAAGACCGTTACGGGGCAAGGCGTCCGTGGGCACAAGCCGTGCCGGAAGGGCGGCTCAGGGCACGGTCGGAAACAAGATCGTTACGGGGCAAGGCGTCCGTGGGCACAAGCCGTGCCGGAAGGGCGGCTCAGGGCACGGTCGGAAACAAGATCGTTACGGGGCAAGGCGTCTGTGGGCGCAAGCCGTGCCGGAAGGACAGTTCAGGGCACAGTCGGAAACAAGATCGTTACGGGGCAAGGCGTCTGTGGGCACAAGCCGTGCCGGAAGGACAGTTCAGGGCACAGTCGGAAACAAGATCGTTACGGGGCAAGGCGTCTGTGGGCACAAGCCGTGCCGGAAGGACAGCTCAGGGCACAGTCGGAAACAAGACCGTTAGGGGGCAAGGCGTCTGCGGGCACAAGCCGTGCCGAAGGGCGGCTCAGGGCACAGTCGGAAACAAGATCGTTACGGGGCAAGGCGTCCGTGGGCACAAGCCGTGCCGGAAGGGCGGCTCAGGGCACGGTCGGAAACAAGATCGTTACGGGGCAAGGCGTCTGTGGGCGCAAGCCGTGCCGGAAGGACAGTTCAGGGCACAGTCGGAAACAAGACCGTTAGGGGGCACGGCGTCTGCGGGCACAAGCCGTGCCGAAGGGCGGCTCAGGGCACGGTCAGAAACAAGATCGTTACGGGGCAAGGCGTCTGTGGGCACAAGCCGTGCCGGAAGGACAGCTCAGGGCACAGTCGGAAACAAGACCGTTAGGGGGCAAGGCGTCTGCGGGCACAAGCCGTGCCGAAGGGCGGCTCAGGGCACAGTCGGAAACAAGACCGTTAGGGGGCACGGCGTCTGCGGGCACAAGCCGTGCCGAAGGGCGGCTCAGGGCACGGTCAGAAACAAGATCGTTGGGGGGCAAGGCGTCTGGGCGGAAGTGCAGCAGGTGGCCCGGCGAACCTACACGTCACATCCAAGTGCTAACAGCATGCCCAAAACAGGACTGTTAGCGACGAGAATTCCTGAGAAAACCTTTGAGCGGGGATCACACGAAGCAGCGTCTCCCGTGCCGCTCACGCGTCACGCCGCAGGGGGGCAAAGAACCACCAGAGAATGGTATCACAACATTACTGCTACGGCAGAAACTGACGCCGACAAGAGTACTACATCATTTGTACGCCACATTACTTCTGCTGCACAAACTTACGCGGATTTCACTTATGCGTGACATTACTTCTACTGCAAAGACTTTCTTCTCCTTCCGCGGTCAACAGTTATATGCGATATTCGTGCAATACTATACAGGCCATAATTCACAACTTATAACCGTCAGTACTCCAGCCCATTGCTTAGGCCTCAATAAAATCCTGGATGGAAAGGACATATGGGAGCACTTGGCTTGGCGAATTCAGACTGCAGGTGGCCGCTCTATGGTGTTGATACGTTAGTGCTGCTATAAATATTGTGATCGACAGATCCACGACGACAATAGCTCTGCGCGCCATTTTGTCTACCAAAAACGTGTGGTGCGCTGTCGTAGCGCTGCAAAACAAGTTTGGGGGCTATGCAGGAAAACCGCCAAACCTGGCGCAATTTACATAAAACACGGCGTTTGCACGGAATGTGACAGCCCTTCCCATCACAGATGAGGCGCGGCTAGTATTCCCGACCGAATATGAAACTACACTCCTAGCCTGGTGTTCACCGAAGCGCGACATTACTTTTGTTGTTTGTTGGTGTTTTCGGGCGCGTGGACTACACTGGTCATTTTGCGCCCATAACGATGCTTTTACTTAATTAGTATCGTGTGAAAATGACTTAAAAGTCAACACATTTCAAGGACGAAAATAGTTGTTTGGAACGCGAGATATTACTTCCACTCAAAAATCTATATCCATCATTGGGATTTTTTTAACCCAAAATCAAGACTGCATAGGTTTTCACAGTGGACATATTGACGGACGTGTGCTTTTCTAAATAGATAATGTTCATTGCTTTTCAAGTCGCGTTGTGAAGCACTAATACCACCTGTACCTGATTGAAGCTGAAGTAATGTCACGTATAATTAATGGCTATAAGTCATTACTGCCGCAGTGGTGACGGATTTATGTCTTTGCAGCATACGTTTTGTTGTGTAATCAGTACACGTAATGTGTGCAAGTGACAATGTATGAGTGTTGGCTATGGTTATACATTTCGAACAATCCTAAACCCGCAAGATAGATGCTTGCCAAAAAAATGTGTATATTACAGAGCCCACGTTCAGCAAAAACAGCCTTTGCAATTTGTAATGGTCCCATATTGAAATTAGCATAAACGTAAGGTGTAAATATAAAAATGGGACATTGATTATCAGAGGCGCCTTATTGCCTTAGATACCTTAGGCTCTCAATGAACCAGAGCCGATCCTAGTTGTCATATGAGTCCATCGTTCCATCTTGGAAACGATGTCTTGGGTCCAACAGGACCTCACCTGCCCCGAGACCCATGACACCACTTACCTTCGTCCAAGCGGTGAACCACCGGGTCTCGCGGTAGTTGCCTGTGTCGCACAGCGTCTTCTTAGGGCGGATCAGGAGAATGACACTGCAACCATTACACCCATCACACCAGTGGACACTCGCTCAGGCGAAGGGCACATTGAGCCTGTGGTTGACGTCGGACGATCCCATCACAAGACACTAACACAGCTCAGAGATCAGCTACGGAGTTCTAAAACGAACATCAGCTGCGGGCGACACTATGCGTACATTACAGAACAACGGCACAATCCGTACTCTTTGACATCGCAGTCTAACGCTTGCCAAGCAGGAATCAGGAATTGACGCAGGGATTCCGCGCAGGAATCGTCATGGCCGGTTGCATCCTGGTCTAGCACATTGTACACGTGTCCAGATGGCAGCCTCTTCTGAACCTATTGACCACATCAACATTTTAAAGTCAGATTGTCCGCGGTCCTCAAAACACTTAACACTTGCCTGACACCTAGCCGTGAGTTGATCTCGTTTCGTCACCGACCACCACACCGGTCACCCACCAATTAGCGTTCCCGGCACTCTTGCCGCCTCTGACGTCCCCAGGGGCCGCATCCCGCACCGACTGCGACGCCGCGGCCGGCGCCGCGCCTCACCTGTTGAGGAACACGACCCGGCAGTTGTAGGTGACGTTGCGGTGCATGACGGGCATGCCGACATCGATGATGATGTCGCGGCAGACGGGGTGCAGCAGCAGCTCGGCCAACACCTCCCATGAGTGCAGCAGCGTGTCACTCTCGTGGAAGTGGTCCTGGCAGCTGTATCCGCTGCACACGACAGAGACAGGACACGTCAGTGGCAGTCAGCGCCGGCAGGTGACCGCGCACCGCGGCGAGTTGGCACATCACCCCCTGCCCACACTGGGCTATCCACCGCACACGACAGGGGCAGGACACGTCAGTGGCAGTCGGCGCCGGCAGGTGACCGCGCACCGCGGCGAGCTGGCACATCACCCCCTGCCCACACTGGGCTATCCACCGCACACGAGAGGGGCGGGGCACTCAGTGGCAGTCGGCGCCGGCAGGTGACCGCGCACCGCGGCGAGCTGGCATATCATCCTGGCCCACATTGGGTCATGGTATTAAGCAGGCTCCTTGTGGTCATATGCAAAGAAAGCTAAAAGAATTCATAGTTGGAGTGGGCTCTTTTCGGGATCAGCCCATTAAGCATACCCAAACTACTGCACCATATCATAAGGGGTTCAAAAATAGCAGACCAACACGAATATAAAGCACTCCCAAATTCTTATACAGAATGCAGCACTTGTTTTGTTAAGTACAATCTAAGCTAACTGCAAATGTGAGGAGGCAGTGTTGGATGCACTTAAATATAAAAATGGGACATTTTTATATTTATTAAATGCGGTGGCACGGGCCAAATCTGATAACATACGTGACTTCCAGCTCTGGACCAGTGCGATACGCCGCTCCCTTCTTCTTGGCTTCTTTTATGCTTGTTATTATTCTACACAAGTTACCTTCAAAGTCCAGAGCCCATTGGTTTAAGGAGCAACAGGCCAATGTAGCTTTTCGGCCCATGGCTGAGCTGAAAAAGGCAATATAAAAATGGTAGCGATGCAACCTGAAAGTCTGACTTTCGCTCGCGTCGCGGGGGGCTAGAAGGGCTAGCATTACTAGCCCTTCTAAATTCCGCAACGCCTCTCGACATGTTTCGTGAATGATACGAAGTTGGAAAACTAGTTTTGGAATCCTTAGCAGCTGACTGGCCACTTTGAAATCCTGGCCACATTTGATCACTGACCTAACACTGTGTCAAATGTTCACACCCAACACCTTTGGAATAAGCATGGCTGGTGCATGCCATAGTTATTTTTGTCTCATAGCTCTCAAGGTTTAATAGGCTCTATCATGGATTTTATAAATGTCTATGACCTTTCCAATGGTCAGCCAAGGTGATAACTCATTAACATAGCTCCATAATGTAACTTTGATACTTAAGAGTATATCCTGCATGACACAAGTAGCTGCATCATCACAGTGCAATGTAGAGGACAAAACCCTGATAACTGAGTGTCAATGGTAACTTAAAGTCAATCAATACCCCATTAACATGAGGCTGTCTTAAAAAAATCATCACAGAGTGGTTTTGTAGTGCATTAAAAGCCTTGTCATCCAAATATAATTCATGTTTGATGCCACCCAGATCATCAGCAGATATGAGCTGAGAGTTACAAAAAAGATCCCAGGATCCCATTGACATGTAATCCTTGTTTCATGCTTAGAAATGGCAGCATTCTATCAATTGACTCTGGTTTACAGCACACTTATTTATCTATATGCTTATTAACAGTCCCTACACACATCAACTCAGTTCTGAGTGAGAGCAATGGGAAATTTTGAGTGAATGAGATTGTAACTCAAGGTGTGGCTTGACTCCAATGATATTGTGTAAATATGGTGACAATGATAAACAGGAAAGCTTGCATTCCTGCCAACATAATTATACCCAGTGAGCAGCCAGATGATGAAGCACTTTGGTGCAAAGCATTGATGTGCTTTGTTACAGGGGTAGTGAGCAGCATCACAAAATTCATCCTGTAGGGTATCAAGGATGCAAATATTAATGCATGTCACCAAAACCCTGGTTCCCCAGCAGCCTCTGCATACAATTTGTTGGCACTAATCTGTTGTCCTTTGACCCCAAACCAAACATCTGACCTGTCCAACCCATATGCCAAGCCTGAGACATTTAAAATGCTGTGTCCACCACCAACCAGCTTGGTGCTGAATGACCAATTTGGAGGAAGGGGGAGGGGCAGCAAGGCAGTAAGCCCCAAGCCAAGGGTGTAACATCATCAACAAACATTGACATTCTTGCTACCTTAGTGGCTACATATTGGAACACAGGTGCTATGGCAGTTTGGTGCAGAGGCATTCAGAGTTTGACAGCTGGGGAGCTGGATGAAACAATTGCTTGAATTGTGATCCTCATCAAGTGTGTTAGCATGCATATATGACTAGTTTCACCTTTTCTTTAGTCATGACATATGGCCAGCATTAATAATTTCCACATGGAGCTAGAGGAAGGAAAAGCTTGCCAATGGGGACATGTGACCCAAGAATGTCCTTCAGTTCTCCTCAATGCAGCCAAGATTTATTTGTGTACCAGATTTTGGCCCACTCTTCTGCACACAAGAGCCCCATTTCAGCATATCAAGGCCTTCTTGTTTGATCCAGAGGTCCTAGATGCTACTAGAAATCATGTAAAAGTTTAGCCACTATCCTCACATTCAGTTTTTCAAGAGAGGTAAACAACCTAACAATGTCAATTTGAGTATTTTTCAGACACCTTTGAGGAGGGGGAAAAGGAGCTCAAAAAAGTCCCCTGGGCCTACTAAAAGCTACTTGTTGGTGATGTCCTGGCCCATGTTGCTGATCTAACATGGGAAAACCAGACATTGGGCATGTTAGCCAGGCAACACAAGAGGCCCATGCCAAGGTGACATCCAGGCTCAGTGTAAATTTATGATCTACTTATGTGGGTTGCCCCAACAGGTTCAGTGCTAGTGTAATTCACTGGACTTTTATCATGAGACAATTTTCTATGTGGCCAATGTACCATATATTGAGGATTGGCTGTGGTAGCTGTGGACATTGTCACAACTAGAGCATTGCCCTGTAGGTTACACTTGGTCACCCTTTGAGCCAGGCCTGTTTCTATGTTTGAGAAGACTTATGGCAACTTAAACTGCCAAAAGTACTTGGATTCCCCACTTAGTACTGAATCCCGGGGGCCAAAGTACATCCCTGCCAAAAATACATCTGCAAAAATTCATTTAATGTGAGGGGTGCTTATACATCAGTATCCTGAACATTGCATTTGTGTGCCAAACCCAGCCAAGACCAAATACAGCTAACTTTCATATAAAGATGAGAGCAAGATTGAAAAATTAGAAAAATTGACACCACAGCTTGTTAACTCTTAACCACTGTGCCCCACTGCCAGAGCTCTGAAGGTTCTACCCCGTTTCGGGTAACGATCACACACTACCGTTTCCATGACAACACGCCTGAGTGTCTGGGTCGACATATAAGTAGTCATCTCGTATAAGCAGATACTGTTTCTAGCTCCGACACATCACATTTAATATATATGGAATGTTTCACTGTCCAATGACAGCATTTTAACCACAGTTTAACTTGCTAGTTGCGTTCCGCAGTTCGGAGCGAGCAACTGGCTGAACGTTCCGAATACGTCGGGAATCGGAAGCAAATATTTTGTTCGAATCTCTAGGCTGAGTACTTTTGGCACAACTTTAAAGTACTCGTTTACCTGCTTTTAGCGCACGATAACAAGTTAACAAGCATATAAATTCGACATATGTCCGACTCCAAATGCTATAACCTCAAACCTTTCATACCCAGCACCTCCCCGCGCCGAAACCCACGCGTTTCAAGACGCGTTCCGCGCGTTCCGCTTTGCGCAGATATATGAATTGTAAACAAAATGGTACTACAGTCAGCTGACTAATCAGTTGCTGGGAGCCAAAAGAAAACTAAAACTAATGCGGAAAAATACGAAATAAATAAATACGAGCTACTAATGCTGCGAAATGTACGAGCACCATATCGCTAGATTGAAACATCATTTTTCACTACTCAAACAACAAAAGATGTATTGGGCTCAATGAATTGATCTTCTTTGTGTGGATGAAATGACCATCAAGAAACCTACGTGAGCTATTTGAATGATTATGCGTGTGACCGTTGTTTGGTACATTAATTTGGGTCATATTTCGGGAATACGTACAGTCAACATGATAAAAGAGATCTTGTTAAATTTCAGACACTTTGCATCGGTTTTTATCCGATATTAGCGCCACAAAGCTGGAAACTCTACACTTGCTTGCGTGGATTATCTGTTTGCAGTGTTTTAAGGTTACTGCATTACCGCATATCGTCAAGGGTTGCCCTATGTGCTGCCGAATACGTTATCCTGTCGTTTTTCGGTTTTGTGTAGTTTCAATTTGCTTATGTTTCGTTTGGAAGCAGCGTAGGAGCGGTGTCATATATCCAAAATAAGTAAGGAATTGAAAGTTGTGGTTTTGCTATTGTTAAGAGAAAATATAACTCGAAGCATTCCTTCTGAACTTTGGTTTAGCTCCTGCTCCTGCTAGGTTGGGGCCGTGGGGAAAAGGCAATTCGAGGTGAGTGGGCTTGGATGTAACCTCGTCTCTGAGTTGGGGAAGGAGAAATGGCTGGAAGTGTAAAATTGGAATCTGGAAGGTTAACCTGATCAAAAAATATGTCCCACAATGTGAAACATGGCAATGTGCTTTGAGGTCAAAATTAGAGTGGACAAATGTCATTGTGTATAAAAATAGGGCAACATGTGCCCAGTGTCAAATTGTAGCTACATGGAAGTGGGTTTACTTCATGGCAAACTCAGTTTTTGACTGTTTTTGTGCTGGCTTAGTCATCTTTCTCAGTTGAGAATCCCCCCATTATTTCTTGAAACCAGGTAATCAGCAAACCCTTGTTTTCAATTTATTACACAGCACAGTTGTTTTTTTATCAGATTAGGGCAGTTGGTTGAACTCAAAATTTGATTTAAGTGGGGTTGATTCCATTGACAGTGATAGTAGTTTAGAATGCCACCCATTCTATGGCCAGCATGTCTGAACTGCAAAAATGTAGACTGCTGAATGTGTCTGGCCTACAGTGCTCAAACATTTGGCCACATGAATGTCAGGAATGTTGATATTCTTGTCCTGTACACCCTATTGGATGGATTTTGGAGTGCTGCTGGCTTAGCAGTAGCATTTTGGAAACAATTTTAGAGCATGCATGCCATATACTTTGTGCCTCAGATTTTGGGGCATAGCTGGCACTAATTTGTCAGTGCATACAAATGTGATGATTTAAGGAATTATGATATGACAAAGGTAATTTTATGCAAACATCCTGCAAAAGTATGTTTTATGCTAAAATAACTTGAATGTTCAGTTCAGCTTCACTCTGCCTTAGCAGCCTGTGCATTGGCTATATTTTTGAAGGCTGGATTCATATAAGCTGAGTAGAACATTCTGCTTTAAAGCAATACAGTCCTGTTCTTATGACTGTGCAGTAAGCTATGTGCATTGAGTGTACATCTAAGCTGTCAATGAGTATGTCTTGTTACAGACATTTTTAAGCCAACTGACTAGCAGATTGGCTGACTGGGTGCTGAATCTGATTCAAAATAAAATTGTAATGAAAAGAATTCCTCCCAGCCCAACCCATATTTGATCAATTCTGTAGTCAACTATGAGTCCATCCAGAGTCAAGAGCAAGTCCCTATAGGTAGATTACCACAAGTTTACTGATATGTTTAAACATTTGAATAGTGGTATTTATTAGGATGGCCTGCTTTTCCAATGGTATTGGTTTCCAGTTTCCAGTATACCTGTTGACTGTTTGATGACCTTGTCTGAAAACTAAGCCACTTGAACCACTTAGCTCCCATTAAAATGTCTTTTTTCTTATTACTTCATCAGATTAAGTCCAAAATGATTGATGAAGTAGATTTATGGCATCAGTGCTTGCAATAGACAGTGCTTGCTGCATGAATACTGAACATATCATACAATCATGCAGCAAACTTGACCCCTGACATTACCTGACTTTTAGCTTTGGTGTTGGCAATGGCACCAGGCCATTCCAGTTCAGGGGTAGACAGAAAATTGTGAATTGTTAAGCAACTCAAACCACCCAGCCCTGAGTGAGGGAATTGGCAGATGGGTGCCTTAGGCAACTTAGCTATGAGGATGGGCAACATGTGTTCCTTCATTGTTTGACCCTACTTTATTGAGGCAGCAGTCCGTTCCCAGCACCTTGACCCCTCCATCTACTAATAACAGGGACTCTGTTGTCTCCTCTCACCTCTCAGCAGTATGAATCCCCCACCCTCCCCACATTGTGCTGACAGTGGTCAGTGCCGCACGGTCACACCCATTTTTCAGCAGTGTGACTCTCCTGCCCTCCCCACAGCATGCTGACAGTGGGGTGGTGCCACACTGTCAGGCTCACCTATCAGCAGTGTGACACTCCACCCTCCCCACAGTGTGCCCTCCCCATAGTGTGCTGACAGTGGGCGGTGCCTTGCTGTTGGGCTCACTCCTCAGCAGTGTGACACCCCTACCTTCCCCACAGCGTGCTGACAGTGGGTGGTGCCGTGCTGTCGGGCTCACTCCTCAGCAGTGTGACACCCCTACCTTCCCCACAGCGTGCTGACAGTGGGTGGTGCCATGCTGTCGGGCTCACTCCTCAGCAGTGTGACACCCCTACCTTCCCCACAGCATGCTGACAGTGGGGTGGTGCCACACTGTCAGGCTCACCTATCAGCAGTGTGACACTCCACCCTCCCCACAGTGTGCCCTCCCCACAGCGTGCTGACAGTGGGCGCTGCCATGCTGTCGGACCCACTCCTCAGCAGTGTGACACCCCTACCTTCCCCACAGCATGCTGACAGTGGGCGATGCCGTGCTGTCGGGCTCACTCCTCAGCAGTGTGACACCCCTACCTTCCCCACAGCGTGCTGACAGTGGGCGCTGCCATGCTGTCGGACCCACTCCTCAGCAGTGTGACACCCCTACCTTCCCCACAGCGTGCTGACAGTGGGCGGTGCCGTGCTGTCGGGCTCACTCCTCAGCAGTGTGACACCCCTACCTTCCCCACAGCGTGCTGACAGTGGGCGATGCCATGCTGTCGCACCCACTTCTCAGCAGTGTGACACCCTACCTTCCCCACAGCGTGCTGACAGTGGGTGGTGCCATGCTGTCGGGCTCACTCCTCAGCAGTGTGACAACCCCTACCTTCCCCACAGCGTGCTGACAGTGGGCTGCCGTGCTGTCGGGCTCCTCCTCACAGTGGTGACACCCCTACCTTCCCCACAGCATGCTGACAGTGGTGGTGCCATGCTGTCGGGCTCACTCCTCAGCAGTGTGACACCCCTACCTTCCCCACAGCGTGCTGACAGTGGGTGGTGCCATGCTGTCGGACCCACTCGTCAGCAGTGTGACACCCCTACCTTCCCCACAGCATGCTGACAGTGGGTGGTGCCATGCTGTCGGACCCACTCGTCAGCAGTGTGACACCCCTACATTCCCCACAGCGTGCTGACAGTGGGTGGTGCCATGCTGTCGGGCTCACTCCTCAGCAGTGTGACACCCCTGCCTTCCCCACAGCGTGCTGACAGTGGGCGGTGCCGTGCTGTCGGACCCACTCGTCAGCAGTGTGACACCCCTACTTTCCCCACAGCATGCTGACGGTGGGGCGGTGCCGTGCTGTCGCACCCACTTCTCAGCAGTGTGACTCTCCTGCCCTCCCCACAGCGTGCTGACAGTGGGCGGTGCCGTGCTGTCGAGCCGCACAGGGCCCCCGTCATGGAGTCGCTGCCGGCGCCGGAGCCGGCGTCGCAGCCGGCTGGCCCGGCCGCCACGTCTGACCAGGTGAAGGCGCTGCTGCGCTCGCGCCGTCGCGAGAAGCGACCCGAGGAGTGGAAGCGCCACCAGCGCAAGAACCGCCGCATCGCCGGCAAGGAGTACGTCAACACCAAAGGCGAGCTGGTGCAACCGAAACAGATGGGCGACGCTTGCAACTGCCGCATGAAGTGCTTCAACAGGGTCAGTCTGATGGCCTGCCGAGGACAGCGCGTATGATATCCTGTTATGGTGCGGTGGTTTCGTCAGGACCGGGGGCGGGATTAAGACCCCATGTGTGGATTTCATTGGGGCCTCGCAGTTTCTATGCGTGCATATTGTGTATATCTTTCGTGAACTTTTGGACTACTGTGGCAGGGTATCAAACATCAAGCCACCAAGTAGCGTCGGGTCACAGAAAAGAGAACTGCAGCCTTCTCCCACACCTGCCTCGACACTTGTTATCTGCGGGTTGCCCCTCTAGCGCTTTGAGCCAATCTATAGTCTATTTGAAGGAGTCGCATGATTCTTGTATGTGAAAAAACACATCACAATGGGCCTAACTGCAATTTTAATGGGGAGGAATTCTGCCAATCTCGATCCCATCTTTCCTCTTCTTTGGTCGCTACACCAGTATTCTAGTCGAAAGAAGGCATCGCACAACCCGGCCTGGTCTCGGCGCCCTAAATCTCCCAAACAGCGTCACCATTCGTCGTATCGGTGACATCGCCGCGTTTCGGCTGTCTTAGCTATATGCTGGGCCTGTGTAGCACTCAACTGTGACCTTTCGTCTTCCAGGTGGACCAGGCGACCCGCGAGGGTATTTTCAATGGCTTCTACTCGCTGAAGAGCTATGACGAGCAGAACGCTTACCTTTTCGGACTGATCCGGAAGAAGGAAATCGCGCGCATCTCGGACTCGTCCTCCGAGCGGCGCACCTGCAGCTACCAGTACTTTGTACGCTGCAAGGGTCGCGAGATATTGGTGAGAGCGGGGAGATGGATCTGAGGGCAGGGGTACTGCTGTTTCAGTGTGAAGTTGTCTTTGTGTGTAGACCTGGAGCGGTGGACGGTACTCACCAATACTGTCTAGAAGGGTGGATTGAGGTTTTTCGAGATGTGTACAGACAATTGCGTCGTCCGACTGCCGCGAGGCATGATTTGCCCTTCCGTGCACGATGTTGCGTTAGGAATGTTCACTTCGGTAGTCCTCCCTCGCCATGATTCCAGTGTTGCCATAATGGGCGTTTATGGGATGTGCATGTGATGCGGTGTAGCTACTGGTGTATCTGACAGCCTGCTGATACCGCACTGTCGGAGCGGAACACGCGCGATCCCCGCCTGGAAGAGCGTGTGACCCGCACTGCCGCGCTGACAGGTGTGCAAGCTGGCCTTTGCCAACATCCACGCCATCACGTTCAAGAAGATCCGAATGCTTTCGGAGAAGCTGGATCAGAACGTGATGTACCCTCGTGACCAGCGGGGAAAGCACATGAACCGGCCCTCCAAGATATCGGAGGAGGTCAAAGGTAGAGGGCGCTGCTGTGGACGCTGTCCGTGGTGGACGTGGCGAGGGAGGTGTGTTAACAGCAGTACCTTCCCCATTTTGTCAGCATAGGGTCGCACGTATGATCGCAGTGATCGGCATGGTTTGGGCTAGTGCATTGCTTATATTACACCCATGTTGTGATGTCACAGCCTCATTTGCCGTGACGTAGTGCTGGCGCTTAAGTGGTGGTGGCATGTTATGAAGAGTGGGAACAAAAGTACGTCCGTAATCGCAGGCCCCGGGAGGGCCGTCAGGGACAGAGAGGGCGCATATACAATTTCGGATGTGCATTGTAAAACGTTCGCTCCTTCCACTGAACTGCTAAGCTTCCGTTATACCATAGACGAGGGATGTCTGCTGTTCCAGACCAAGCTCGGAAACACATAGCAGAAATACTCAAGTCGTCAGAGCTCCGGAGATTTTTGAAAGAGGATAAAGTTTTTGGCCTAGATCTGAACTTGGCGAAGATGCATAAGGATTACCTGAAGCGTTTTGAACCGATGGCGTTCCAAGATCATCTTCAGGGTAAGTGTGTTGTACAAGTGATCCACTGGTAATTGTTAGTATATGTGTTTGAGAAGCAGTTGGTTAGTCGTGTGGTAGTTATTACTTTCACTTACTTCCCCGAAACGCTATTAAAGGCAATCGTCAAAGCAGTTGTAAACGCCGTAATATTTTGTGTACAGCCTAAGAACGCTCGGAAAACGTCGTTGTTTTACCCTGGTAAAACGCTCTAAACGTGCACAAAATATTAACGCACCAACAATCATTTTGCCTCTTTCTTTCAATGTAGTTCAAGGAAAACGGCATGCTGATCTAGCATTGCGGCTAACGACACTTTGGTATGAGGCGAAATTACGGTGCTGGTCTGTAAAGAAAAATGAGAAGCAAAACACGTATCTAAAGTTAATGCGCACGAGCAACAAACACGATGCGAATATCACTGCAAAGGTTGTGTTTCAGCAACCCATCCAGGGCGCGTTTCGAGCATGTGCCGACCAGACCGCGTTGCCCATTCCCAGAGAAACTGCGGCTCGGCTACCAGCCGCAGCTGAAGATCTGGCTGTACAGCAACATCTACCACACCGAGTTCCGCTTCGCCAACCTGGAGGCGCTGCGGACGGCGCAGCAACCGGACCGGCGGACTGTCGCCGGTGCCGCCGTCGGTGCCGTTACCGACGGCGGCCGAGTCGGTGTCTGCGGCGGAGCCAGCGCCGGCCGCGCGGGCCGCGTCCCGCCGGCCGACCCGCTCGCTCAAGGTGAGCCCGCTCGTGTTGGCCGGCTCACTTACCGCACTCTGCATAGTGTGCGCTGAAGGATTTTTTACTAAGCTAAATTATTTTTTACTAAACGACTAAACGATTTTTGGCGCATCCGTTTCCTTTCATAACTCATTACGTGCAGATCAGATTGCCTGCAGTGTGTTTCATTCGCTCTTTTGCTGCCGAATAAATAGCATGAAGTTGAGTGTATGATTTGGTACAAGAGCGTTAAGATAGGGAACAGCATACTTTAACACGCATTAGAACACATGAGTGATGTGCGTGCCCGAAATTTTAGCCATGCGTCGTCTCCCTTGATACTGACAGCATACCATCGGCTCTTTGCCGCGGCTCTCGCTAATGCAGAGGTGATAGCCAACCATGCAGAATCAGGGTCGTGTTTGGCCGCATCCAGTGTGTCTTTGGCGTGGCCACCTGGTACAACAATTGTGTACTTGGGCGGCGGCCGTCTGGCTGTCCCGTCGCCGCCTGGCCTGCCCCACTCCGTCCGTGTGATGGCTCGCCACTGGCCCTTCAGAGGCTACGCCCGCTGGCCCCCTGCCCGACGGTCGGCGGGCTGCCGCAGCCGGAGCCGTCCCAACAGCCGCAGCAGCCGCAGCAGCCGCAGCAGCCGCAGCAGCCGCAGCACCAGCAGCCGCAGCAGCAACAGCAGCCTCAACAGCAGCAGCAGCCTCAACAGCAACAACAGCAGCAGCCCCAACAGCAGCAGCAGCCTCAACAGCAGCAGCAGCAGCAACAGCCACAGCCACAGCCACAGCAGCAGCAGCCGATGGTGGTGCACCACGTGCTGCCGGAGCCACACACGGACCTGATGAACCTGGCCATGGAGCAGATGGAGACTGGCTACCAGCAGCTGGTGTTCCAGGCGGCGCGCGGCGGCCCGGCCGGCGACGCCCAGCCGCTCCAGCTGTGCCTGCCGATCAACTGCGTGCAGCCGCTGAACTTGCAGGCCCAGCCGCTCAACCTGCATCACACGCACACGGTGTTCTCGGTGGCGGCGGCCGCCGCCGCGCCGTTCGGCGAGCCGCCGCCGGGCGGCGCCACCGGCTCCCAGACCGTGCCGCTCGGCGTGCCGGAGTACGACGGCGACGTACACCTGGTGGCCTCGGCGGCTGGCGGCGGTGGCGGCGACCTGTACGACTGGCAGCTGGCGACCGAGTGAGGCGGTGGCGCGGGGCTGCTGAGGACCGCGCTGACGCGGGGTGTAGGGACGCTTACGCGCTCCGATGTCGACCGCCGTGGGGCCCAGGCGCAGTGCGGCGCGGCTTTTCAGGGAATGTGGCTCCTGGCCGGCCAGGATATCGCACATTTGTACAGTGCCAGGGGTATGTTCGTCATGGAGAGACTGACGCAGGCTGCTGGTAGCCTGCAGATTATGAGCTGCCGGTTGACAGATCTATTGCCTGTGCATGCATTTTATCACGGGTTGTAAAGCTTTCATCTATGAGTTCTATCATCACAGATGGTGAAGGAGGTCGAAACGTTTTAGACATCTTTAGATGCATCGTAATCATGTTGAAGAGAGTGAGCTTACTTTAAGGGGAGTGAGCTTGGTTTAATAAAGAAAGAACGAATGGATGATGACATATTTTCTCAGACGTAAGAGCTGGCAATACTTGCTCTATAGGTTGCGCCCACTTTACAAAATACCTGACGTGTCCGCTCACTCCATTCTATAACGCTGGGAGTGATTTTATTACGAATTGATGCTATCCCTGCCAGAGGCGGATCCGAAATTTTGTCAAGGGGGGGGGGGGTACGCACCATTATGGGCCCACGGTCTTTTGGGGCACTCGTTCTCCAAAATCCTCGCATTCGGGTCATTAAATTGTAAGGTTTTTCTTTATACTATATTAATACGGTACCCATCTTACCGTCCCGAGACCCGAGAAAACTAAGCAAGCTACGTGCGCAAATGCATCGAGCTTGATCATTTTCTCCGGTTCATGTTGCATTCTGGCATGTTGAGGAAATACGTTTCCGAAAAAAAAACATGGCAAAATGCACTAAGGCCAACTGCTGAAATAAATTCAAGATCACATGTGAACCTGATATCTAGCTTATTTACGGTCAGTGGACTAGATGACGCGGTCAGCTGATTGCTGATGGGTAATGTGGCATGTTTCCTTTGACGTATGAGGGGGTACAAAATGTCCTAGCATTCAAACTGTGCTGAAGTGACGCACAAGTGTAATAAATGTCAATTTCAATAGCCAACTGAAATGACGTGCACGACGTCGGCGGTGGGTAAAATTATGTTCGACGAGTACTCGTCCAAACTCATCGGCGCATGTCCGACTGCTGCTCTAAGGTTGATTGGCGCCAAGGGAAATCGTCAGCGTGTGATCTCGGGCTTGTGTACATCAGGTAATTAAGCCAGGCCCGCACACACGAACAGGCGGGACGTCCTGGCGCTCGCGAGCACACGTGGGGCTTTCGGCAACAGCATAAAGCCCTTCTAACTTCATTGGAAAAGCTCGCGACCAACGTGGAGGGCCCCGGAACGATCAAGAGTGCCCCGGCCGAATGCCATCTAGGCCCAGGGCGGTGATGGTATAATGGTTAGGGTCTCGACTCTGGACCTATCGGTCTGGGTTTCGGGCCCCGGCCACGCCACCGCAGCATCCCACATGATCTCTAATAAAGGCATAGGTCTTGAAATATCCCTGGCGGTTGGTGTGACGAATATCCCAAACCATTAAGGCCTAGATGCCCGTCAACGGCGTAGGCCGTCTTACAATATGGGGAAGCCTAAAGCCAGAAGGGACGGCACCTGAACAAGCGAGGATGCCGCGGCAGGCCAACAAAGGGACTCCTGTCAACGGTGCCCTGAACGATCGAGAGTACACCGGCCAACTAACGGCATGTTGGACCCGGCCGGAGCACGGAACTCAGAGAAAGGGACGATAACCCATCACCAGCGTATATAAACTAATGCCCCTGTGCGATCAAGAGTGCCCGGTGTCTTGTGCCCTGTGCTCCAAGCAAGTGGAAAGAATCTGATACCAAAGGGCTACTAGGCAACCGAGTGCACCCGGCATATGGGACCCTGGTAATAACGCAAAGAGCCTCTCGGGCGAATATGAAGAATTCGTGGAGGGCTCTTGATTGATTAAGAGTGCCCAGGCATGTTAGCATATAGTAGGACCCTACTATGGTGGAACACTATATTCGCCTAGGAAGTACCTACGACCCGATGTGCAGGGCCTCCGAACAATCAGTGCGAGTACGTTAAGAGATGGAGCCCCGGGAAGAGCGTAGAGCCCTCCGCAGGTGACAGGAGATTAGAAGGGCCCTGGAGCAATGCAGGAGGCCCATGAGCATATCGTGTGTGTGTGGGTGCAGTAGGTTAACCGAAACCGACGTGAAGGGCCCCTGAATAACCTGGAATGCCCCGTCAGTTTAAGATATGGGGTCCCCGGCCATAGCGTATAGACCCTTTCGGGCGAATTAGAAGAATATGTGGAAGGCCCATGTTCGACAGAAGTGCCCCGGATGACAGCAGAAAGGGTCCCGACAACACTGCGCGGTCCTCCGAGCAAATATTAAGAAATCGGAGGCAACATTGAAGGCTCCTTAGAGATCAAATTTACCCTTCAAGTGAGCATATAGGTCTCTCGGGAACAGCCTTTGGACAGCGTAATGGGCCCTCTATTCTCTCAATCACCACCCCCTCAATCGTCGACTAATTATTTTTGCCTGATCATGGGCCTGTCAGTTTCGCTTGCGACTGTACCTGGTTGCCTGTAAGCCCAAAGACGCCCAATTTTGTTGCGTCTTATGTTCAAAAACTGGGTCGGTTCGACCGGCTGTGGGCCCCTTCGGAGCACAGGAAGGCATCGCCCCCGTGCCCCCCCCCCCCCCCTTCAAGGATCCGCCTCTGATCGCTGCATTTATTAAGACGTGGAGGTATTCATTCATCCACCCAGTCACTGTCCATTCATCTATTCATTCATTTTCAGCCCTGGCTCTTACTTTCAAGGCAATATCTGTGCATGAAATGTGCGAGTTCCAATCGGCCTACGTCACTTCTTTCAGTACAGAGGTATTGCGTCAGCAAGGTCGTCTACTGGGAATAGCCAGCCGGGGACGACCGGTGTTCCGTCAGTGCGCCGCCAAGGTCACGCAGAGGACGTGCCAGTGCGCGCTTTAAAAGCGATGTTGCAGGGCATCTGCCGGCAGGTCCCGTCGTGCGCTGGTGCGAGGGGGTTGCGGTTGCACGTCTGCGGCAAAGGTGGTCGGAAGGTTAAACCAGGGTCTGAGCAATGGGTAAGACTATGAAGGCATTGCAGTTCAACAGACCAACAAAAGCCTTGAAGCTGACTGAAATACCGGTGCCACAAATCCAGCATGGGGATGACGTGCTGGTGAAGGTTGTTTACTCCGGAATTTGTGGAACGGACTTGCATGCTATTAAGGTAGGTCGGTTTCATGTGACGGGCGGTGTAGATGTGCAAGGTCTTGCCTACTGGAATTTGTGTGCATTGAGGCAGGTGCAGTGTTTGGTATACCTCATTTGCAGGTGTTGTTGAGATTTGATTTGTGAATGAATATGCTCACAAAGACAGACATGTGTGCACAGAATTGGTTTTAGGGTTGGTGCATCTCAATTTCAGGTGGCATTGGAATTTAGGCCATTAGTGAATATGTTGATGACAGAATGCAGGGTGCTCATTTTACATTTGGGTATCCATGTATCATAGCCTTGAGAATGTTTGAGCAGGGTGTGTTGGGGTGGCATTTTTGTCATGTCCATAATATTTTTTCCTACTGGTCCAAAAAGTGGGCAGAGGAGCTGTTGTGGGACCTGACAATGGGTCACTGTCTCCTGTAGAGTTCTCCATCTCACCCATCAGTACCCAGCCTCACTGATGCAGGTTGTTGCAGGGCAACTATCCAACAGCAGAACATGATGTGACCCTAGGTCATGAGTTCTGTGGTCTGGTGGTTGAGATTGGTGCTGATGTCAAGACCCTGAAGGTTGGCAACAAGGTGACTGTTGACCCCTACAGGTGAGATAGCATGGCAGGTGCAGGGAATGGGGTGGGGCTGTGTTCTCCTGTGTCAATGATGTAGAAAATCTGGTGTTCCTGTGACATCAGTGCCCTGTTGTAACTGCATTCCATGCTACTCAGGCTGCCAGGGTTGAGGATATCTGTCATCCATGGGATTAGGATATATGTGGTCTGAGGCTGATGGTCTGGTTTGGAATGTGTGTGTCAAGGCATGCACTATGTTTAGGGTGGAATGTGTGGGTGTGGGTGTATATGGATGATCACAGCAAGGATGCTGATTAATCATCATGGATCATGCTGTCTGACTAAGGCAGGGTTTCTTCCATTTTCCAGGGTCATGGTCATGTGTTAATAACTGGGTGTCTTGTAAGAATGGAATGAGGCACAGCTTCACCTTTTCCCTTCCTACCTGCAGCAGGGATTTTCTATTCATGATTATTTCCCTTTCTACCTGCAGCAGGGATTTTTGGTTCATGATCATTTGTGGCATGATGCCTTTAGATTCAAGTAGGATAACCCTGGGGGCAGGCCAGTATCAGAGATTGTGTGAGTCAATGTTGAACTGTCAACTGCTGATACTAGACACCTGCAGACCATGTCAATGCTCAGAGTGCAACAAATAATGTGTAATATAGCTTTCAGCCTGTTCATATGCCACACAGCTGACTGGTTTTCAAGTCTGCATATATTCAGCACAATTGTCTATCCACAACTTGTTCAAGACATACTTCAAACTTCCATTCAGTCATCAGTCAGCTTTGCTTCAGTCTAGTGTGTGGTTTAATGCACCTTGTCTGCTTGGCTCCTATCATCAGGCGATTGCACACTCTGTGAGCCATGCCCTGTCTCTGGATCACATCAGCACCCCAGTAGTGGTGCAAAAACACGTCTCCGCAGCGTCTTGTGTAATGTTAGGATTTCACTCAGGACTGGCTGATCTGCTCCCCATCCAGACCCAACGCAGGTTATAATCACAGAGGACATGTTTATGCACATTCGCTGGGAGTTGTTTGGCCTACTGAGAGAACACAAATGTGCTCGTGTTGTACCCCGTTTCGAAGTCGGTTCTCTCCAAACGCCACTAGAATTAACGTCACAGTTTCACGAACTTCGGATGGATCGGGACCTGTCCAATCACATTTTCCCCACACCTGTGCATGCCTCACAAAGCAACAGTTACAACGTTTCGTGCAAGCAAAACTGAGGTTGCAAATTAGGCAAGACGACCATCCACTTGTGCCCGGCGAAGTCGGCCCACCGCCGTGGCTTTCTCGCCATCGGGCCGGCCGGTCGGTAAACAGACCCCCCCCCCCCCCCCCAGGTCACCCTGGGACGTGCGACGAGGCGCGCGGGCAGCGCAGCGTTCAGGGCCGTCCCGACGGCCAATGACATGCGGCGTAACCACGTCGCGTCACTGTGACGATGCGCTGTTTACGAATGCCAGACGCAACCTGTTGATGCTCTGATGTCCTGCATTGGCGAGTGGAAGGATTCGATGAGGAACTTGACACTCGTTGGCCCGTTTTGTGTTTCATACCGCGCATATTAGAGCGGGCTCATCCTTCGGTTTTGGGTTATGGAGCTCACAACAGATCAGAAAGCTGGACTGGTCAGTGGGCAGCCAACGCCACAGTATGACTGATGATCGGGATTGTCGATTGAGGAGCCTTCGGTGCCAGATGGCACCACCCATCTCACGCCATTAGCTTGGTGGATGAGTCCTAGTACTTGCAATGACTTGGGTCATTCCTGTGATGCATTCGGTATTTCAGACCCCAGATTATGAAGCTATGCATTTTCCTTTATTGTGTGGCCCAGATCGGTCCATTGTTCATGGTTCGATCCGTTGTTGCCTCCAGAACATGAGAAGGCGTGTCAAAGCGAGATGCCACTATATAGGATGAATAGAGCGTTGCTGTTCTGTTTTGCTCGTGCGACATGCAGCCTACACCATAAAATCTGCTCCGAACGTTTAGTTAGGTCGGCATGTGTTTTTCCCCGCAATAACCTGTTGCTGTCTTCCCCTCGTTTACGCTGCTTGTGAATGCCATTGTAAGTCCACCTCACCTCCAAGTACACGGCGTTCCTCGGCCACCCAACGGGGTAGGTTGTGCTGCCACGATCTCTCTGTCCGGCAGAGGATGCTACAAGTGCCGATACTGCGCCGGCGGCAACCCGCAGTTCTGCATGCACGAGGGCCCGCGGAACGCGCTGGGCTTCTTCCTGGACGGCGGCTGGGCCGAGTACTGTGTGGCGCCGGCGCAGCAGGTGCACAGGATCTCGGCGTCGCTCAACCTGGGCCTGGACCTGGCCTGCCTGGTTGAGACGCTCTCCACCATCCAGCACGGCATCGACCGCATCGGCGTGGTGCCGCACGACGCCAACGTGCTCATTATCGGCGCCGGCATCATCGGCATCCTGTACGCCTGCATCTTCCACCTGCACGGCCACAAGTCGCTGGTCGTATCGGAGCCGTCGGCCGAGCGGCGCGCGCGCATCGAGGTGCTGGAGCTGGGCTACCGGGCGCTGACGCCCGACCAGACGCGCGAGGTGATGACCGAGGCGGCGCGCGACCTCGACCACGACGGCCTTGACTACGTCATCGACTGCTCCGGCTACGCGCCGGCCGTGGAAGAGGCGTTCCAGTGGCTGCGCAAGGGCGGCCATCTGTGCATCTTCGGCGTGGCGCCGCCCACCGCCAAGATCAGCATCTCGCCCAATCAGATGTTCCACAAGGAGCTGACGGTGCTCGGCACGCTCACCAACCCCTTCTGCTACCCCAAGGCGACGGCGCTGACGGCCGCGCTCGGGCAGCGCTACCTGTCCTATGAGAAACTGGCCATCGAGACGTTCGAGTTGGACCAATATGAGACTGCGCTCAGTCGACTGGCCAGCGGCGTCATCTCCAAGGCCGTCTTCAAGTTTCCCGAGTAGGGGAGGTTTGGTGAAGCGGCGACCGATGAGGCAGCCCCTAGTCAAATGTATTTATATGAATGTTGTAATTGTGCTGTGTCACCTGCAGGATCATTTGATACTGGCGTTTTTTCTCGTTAGCGTACGCTCTTGTAGCTTTGCCCTGTATCGAGCCACTTTTGAACCTTATTGTTGCCCGTACTCAAGTCATTTTTGAACCTTATTATTACCAAAGACCTGTTGAGCTTTACAGATCGTGCTGATCTCCTGCGCTAGATGTTGAGTGATCGCGGTGGTACGATCCGATCCGATCATGGGCGCCACCTGATTTGCCAGTCACGCAGTTTGCAATTGCAATCCACAAGTATGCAAGGAATATACCGATACGAAATACTCTGTGCCTGTCTTATCAGCACCTGCGATTGTTCCGGCTCCGGGGCCGTTTCAGGCCTGCCGAGATAGGCGATGTGTGTACGGCTTGATATGCGGAATGCGCCGTACGGTCACCTAGCACGTCTGTCCGTCCCAGTGCGCCCCCCCCCCCCCCCCCACGGACAATGAAGTCGGCGGCGCATATGGACGGAAAACTAGGGAAGTTCAAATCCAGCGAGCGGCATGTTTTCTTGTGTCTGTCAGGATCGACACAAGTAGCCGCGTCGCTAATGCTCGCGTGTACTACGCACTATCAGAGCCTGCACTGTCAGTGATAATCCCGAACAGGGCGCGAACGTGTCCTTCGTGCTGTCACGCTACACTAGCCTGACTCGCACCGACTCATAGACCCTTCCGCAGTAGTGCCCGCCGCCTGCTGTCACAGCAGACGCGGCGACTGGGGTGACTGAGCTTGGGGCAACAGGTGGTCGGGTCGGCTGTCGGAACACACGGGCCAGATCAGCGCGGCCGCGAGTCAGCATGTAGCAGCCCGCCGTACCGGGCCGCGCCCCGCACCTGCCATATGTGCGGAGCTAGCAGGCGGGACGTGTCCCGTTGGTGTGCGTGTCGATTAGTTCGCTTGACTTGCTAATGTATTGGCTGCGATGGTCGTGTCGCGACCGTAGCTCTGGTTTCATGATTTGCGTTTTACGTTATCCTCAATGGCAGGTTCAAATATGCTAAAGAAAGTCCGTGGCCGGGTCCGTACCACGCAGTCGCATGATCCCACGGATTGTCGCACCGAAAACCGTTCGACACGTAGAAGAACCGCGCCATCGTGGGTCAGATCATGTATTTTGTTCATCAGCGCTCACATGACTACAGATCACGGAATCACACTGTTTTAAACAGGTAACAGCTGTAAGAGGCATGCCACAGAACGAGGAGTACGTTTTGCCGCGCGCACGTACGCGCTGGCCTGGCGACAAACCATGCCTAGCATCGAAGCCCGCTCGACCCGGGCCAATCGCAGCGTCCTCGGGCGAGCGCCAGACCAATCTTATCACAACCGGGAGTCATACCAGACCCACAAATAGAGAAGAGGCCAGGGCAAGCAGGCCGGACCTCGGCGGCGCCTTGCGGCCTTGGGAGGGGCTACCGAGCCTCGGGAGCGGCTTCTGCGCCTCAGGAGCGGCTCCTGGGCCCCAGGAGCGGCTCCTGCGGCCCCGGAACCAGCTCAGGTGTGGAGGTGTCTCTTCAGCCGGCCGCTCAGCGCCTTACTGAGCTGTCGCGTGCCCTTACGCAGGCCGTGCGCGCTCGTCTCCAGTTCGTCGTGCTGCTCCAGCACGCGCCGGTTGAACAGGCTCACTGCGGCATTGTTAGGTGTCAGGGTGGGAATGCCCGCTCACCGGCCCCGTCAGGCCAACCTCCGGCCAGAACACCCGCGCGCCGCCGGCCACTGCTGCCGCACAGCGATTACACAGCACAGCATGGGGAGCAAGCACAATATACATAAGCTGCTGCAGGGAGCAAGTCGGCACGACGTAGGCGACGGGGCCGTTGTCCGAAACAGAGCGATAGCAACGCCTCGTTCAATGACCGAGCCTGAGCCTGAGGGCTGCATCAGCGAGTTGCGTCATCAGACAGCTGCGCACCTAGATTGAGCAACTTTCCAAGCGACAAACCATTATGTTGGCCGTTGGTGACTGCCTCAGTCAAGATCGCACTTTGGCGACGTTGCCTCCTTACGGTTTGCTGTAAAGCAACGACCTCCACACCGCGCCGCCCACCAAGCTGTGGGCCGCCCCGCTCTCGCGCGAGCCTGCTCCAGACACGACGGTCCAAGCGCCGTCTCACCTGCCGGGGTCTCGACGTGGCGCTCGCACGACTCGATGAAGGCGTTGAACATGGCTGTCTCGGTGAACCACTCGAGAAACTCGCGCACGTCGTCGGTTGGGGCCGCCTCCACGAACGCGTCCCGCTGTCGACACGCGCCGGCCCCGTCACCGTCGGACCACGCCCGGCTCAGTGACGTCACCGACACGAGGCCCCGGCCGTGTCCGATGCAAGGGCGCGGATAAGCAACAACAGTTGCGGCACGTGGCCTCGGTGATGTCATCATACCGGGAAATCGTCATGATTGCATAGTTCATGATTCACGGGTTCAGGGGGGAAGGGGGGGGGGGGGTGCATTCTAGCTGTTCAACATATTCTTCGTATGCGTCATGCAATAAATCAGCTTTTCTTTTTCAGCGACGAGGAATTGGATGAACAACATTCGAGTAGATTCGAATACAGCAGGATTTTGCGAAACTCCAAATACCAAAAACAAGGACCCCGACCATGAAAATTAGGAATCAAGTCTCAAAAGCAGCATCGAATTATGAAAGCCATGATTTAAAATACACAAATAAATCGATTAAATTTTGTCCAGGCCCACAGTATTTTCAATCACCTGTAAGATGCACACATGTCGGCTCCCTATCGGACTGGGTAGCCAGTACGTCGTTCTAAATACATTGAGTCACTTCAAGACTTCGACCCTAAAAGACTAATTTATCCGAATATATTCAGATTCCTAGCACTAATTGCTCCACTGTGCATTTCACTGGGATGACGCTTTTGCTTACTTATGGGGTGATATCTTACGCCGACTTTATGCGTCTGCGGGCGTTGAGTTGGCAGGGGAGCATATCCTCTGGTACGGAGAAAACGTTCAGGAGGTACGTACGTTCCTACGTATGTATGTTCGTGTTGTAAGCATGCTCGGCCACAGCATGTCACGCCTCGTCACGAAGCGAACACTCCCCCTGCGCGGTTTGCCGATCACAAACCCGTGCGACCCAGCGAAACAGCCTTAGACATACAGTTCTGGCCTCATGTGTCAATAAGAAAGGAAGGAAATTGCAGGTGTTTAGCGCTGGGTTCCCCAAAACATGTCATCAGCTGGGATGTCACGTGACGCTTGGTTTCTAGCGAATCCTTGTAACCTGCCGGGAAGCGTACTGGCTTAACCCTCGCCCGTACTGAAGAGGCTGGGCATCGTAATTCGTAACATTTCTTACTTAAGTGAGGTCATTTCATCATATCTTTGTAACTCATGCTAGCTAATCGCTATTGCAAGAACCGCAATCAGATACTGGATTGCTGACATGTCATCGCCGACGGCATGGCTGACACTGGTTCGTGGACATGTGCTTACCTACGTGTGAACGCGCTTGGCTGGCGCTTGGCAGGTGCAGACTGCCAACCGCCAGGTTTAGCACAGGCTCGTCCACATTGGATGCTATATAACTAATGAGCCTGAGTCTGAGTCGTCTGGTCTGAGTCTGAGTCTGAGAGCCTGGGTCGTAGGTGCCAGGTACAATATGCTAGCCTAGAGCTGACACGAGAGCTGGCGGGTAACAGGTCACATACAACAGGTAGAGCTGCTGAAATGTAGAAATTATTAATCGCAAAACGCGATTCGTGTTCGAACTTGCACTGCGCACTTTGAAAGTTAACCGCTGTCCATTGATGCGGCGATTCGTGCTGACGTACTTTAGGCACGAACAAATTCAACAGTCGCGCTTTTCTTCATCTTGAACACAATTTGGCCATGGAGGAGCCGAAATTTGCGTGGCGTTTCCATCGCGTCATGCATACATGGATGATTTCAAAAGGGGCGGCGCGAAATGGTTTGCATAAGTTCGCGTGCGCCTAGCTCAGAAACGAATTAATTTCAAGTCTTACGACTAGCATAACTGTGAACTGCACATACTGATCACAAAAAATGACTATCTCAGTTGAAAACCCCATATGAATGAGGACCAAAGCATTTCAGTGTCTTGTATGAATAAATTACGTGTCCAAATGACGACATGCCAACATGACACCAGGGCACACCGCGCCGTGCAAATAGCCGCTGCAGCTGACGCGCGCTTGAAACCTTGCCACTAACACCGTGCCATACCTGCCACAAGACGTCCAGCCAGCCAGCCAGCCAGCACTTCGACATGTCCACGCTTTCCATGTCACTATTTGCAAAATTATAAATTTTAACATGACCACATTGTATTTCACAACTTAACCACTCGCCAAAAGGACATATCGATGTTTTGCTGGGTCGCTTTTCTGCAATTCGCCATTTAATCGTTCGCCAATTTGGCATGGCGACGTTCTAAATTTCGACATTGTGCAGTTCACCTTTAAGCTTTCCGTCATTTTGTTATGTCACCTTTTTATATTTCACCTTTTTGCAGTTTGCCAATTGGCCGTTTCAACCTTTTGCCGCGACGAGTTTTTACATGTCGCCATTCCGCAATTGCCATTCATCAGTAGATAAAAAGGCATTCGCCGGGTGGCATTTTCGCCTTTCTGACCTAGTACCGAGCAAATAAACATCAGCGTTCTGCGATTCCTTCTGCGAGCACCAAATCGCACTACTGAAACCTTCTAAAGGTGAAAAGTGGTCACAGTCCCAAATTCGATGCTCGTGATCTTTGCTGGGATTGTCCACGGCCAGGCTCACATAAAGTAAAAAAGTAAAAATGGCGTCAGTTAGCTCGAAAAGCGGCACATGATGGACCAGAATGACTGAGATGAGTCAGTTATAACACCGGTCGTCCCACGCAAATGCAATGTCATGTCAGGCACTGAAGGCCGCTCGTGGGATTGTTGGCAGGCCCATCACAGCGCACCAAACCTTCGCACATGGAGATCGTAAGTACAAGACCGCGCAGCGCAACATTCGTGGCAGGCGCTCAGATGACCTCGCATTACCCGCTGTAAGGAAACGGAGGCCCACTGACATCCACTGGCTTCACTCTGCGGGCACACGCAAAAACTTCGTAGAAACGGCAGGGAAGCTGGCTCGACCTCGTTTGACCTGTCCCAGCAGACGACTTGTGCGGCAGCGTGAGCTGCACTGACCAGGCCGCAAACCATGGGGGGGGGGGGGGGGGGCTGTAAAACCGCTTCTCAACCGGTGCTCTGTCACACCAGCCGCTGAATCGGCAGCTCTGGCACATCCGCTCTGGCACATCAGCCGCTAAATCAACGGGACAGCCGCCCGGCCCCGGCTGTACTTGAGTCGGGGTTGAGCTGAGCGCGTGGCGCCCGTCGTATTTCAGTAAACACTATGCGACATCTCGCGGCAAGCGTACCATCCCAGGTTTAAAAATGTAGAATTGGGTGGTGGACACAATGGCATGCACAATTACAACACGCATCGTATATGAAGTGTGTATAATGCGGCGTCAAAGGTGTTGAGTTACTTTTGGGACACCCCGTGCATCAAGCTTTCTATTATTTCACCCCGGGCTTTCTATTATTCCACTCGTACATGAACCTTTTTTAGGGGGGGGGGGAGGGCGTAAATACATAGCTTTTCGCACATGTTTGGTTTTCGTTTTGAAGGGCATATTGACCCAAATCCCATCACCTGGATCCGCCCGTACATGACAGCGACGCCGTGCAGTAATGAAACTGGCTGCTCGCTCCAAACGCATTCGTCACCCCAGCCCGTGAGGCCCCGTCCCCCACGAACGGGACCGGACGCCGGCCGAAGTTACGTCAGCAGACGTGACTGCGATGGCCATTACGACCGCAACCGCGGGACGTCCGCCGGCGCTGTCAACACGCCGCCCCGGGCGCGGGCTCTCTAGGCGGGGACTCCGGAGGGGAGGAGGTAGGGGCCCGCTCCGGAGTCGAGACGGAGCCACGAAGTACTCTGGGATGTTCCAAGCCCGGAGAGCTAACAATACGCAAATCTTCCGAGCCTTTACCTCGCGGAAGTTTTCTCCGTACCGGCGTACCGGATCATATGCCCCCCGACCAGAGCTGTACATAGCGCCAGAGCCACGAGTCCGGATTTCCACCGGAGGAGACACTCCCGTCTTTACCAGCTCCGGCTCATGCACGATGACGCAAGAACCAGCGCTGCCAGCCACCGACGGAGCGGTGGAGACCACGCTCTCTGTCCGTGACCAGCCGCCATATCGACCGGCCGCCGTCGCCGCCGGCTGCCGGCTTGCACAGCTGCTCATGGCCCGGGCTGGGCCGTCGCTGGCAACATGGCGGAGCGGCGGGACCGCGCCGGCCCCGTGTCGGCCTGGCCGGCCAGTGCGACGGTCTGACGTCACCAGCCGGGGCCGGGACCACGTCCAGCCGTCATGCGTGATTTACCGAGGACACGCGTTGACGTCTGTGTCATATCACTCGGCGGCCAGAGGCCGATGACGTGAAGTTCGTTTATCAACAGGGGAAACCATATTAAAGCGGGTGGCGTGGGCGTCGGCGTGTTTAGTAAACGCAGCGCTTCTCCCCAGGCTGTCGAGACCCTCCCATGCAGGGTGACAGACGTGTCACAGGCATGGGGTTCCAGAACAGTTAACATACGCCACGTGGCTACAAGTCGCGCCCAGGGCCCCAAGCGGTGGGCGGCCCCTGTATCGACCACGGAGCTGGTCGTCCACAGTGTCCGCACCAACACTGAGCGCGCGCGCGGCCGCCCGCCGCCGTTACCTGCAAGAGCCGCTGTCCGTCCTGCTGCGTGACGAAGTGGGCGCGGTAGTGTCCGCACACCTCGACGAAAAGGCGCAGCAGCGTCTCCGCCAGCAGCACGGCGGCGCTGGCCGAGTCGGGCTCGGGGCCGGGCAGCCAAGCGGCCAGCCGCAGCGCCTCGACCAGCGCCCGGCCCAGCCGGCGCGGCAGGATCGTCGACTCGTCGCCGACGCACTGCACCAGCGACGCCGTGTCCAGGTCCACGCAGATCACCTGGGAGGGACCAGAGGGGTGGGTCGGCGACCGTCGCTGACCCGACGGTCCGGCGGTGGTGCCCCAGGCCCACACACGTCACCCGCGGATATCCTGCGACTGTGCTCAGCGCGCACCATCCGACACCTGGCGTTTACCACAGCAGACGGAGCCCCCAAATCCAGACAGACTCGACCTGCGAGAGTTCTGCCATTGCGTTCCGTCGGTGCCCATCCTATCCGTTGCCGGAGTTGTGGCACGCACTACCACGCAGGCCGACAACGCGCAGTGTCCGAAGCATATAACCCTATGTCCAAGTGCACGCGGTGTAGTGTTCGGTTCGCAGCAGTGTCCGAAGCATGTAAACCTATGTCCAAAAGCATGCGGTGCAGTGTTCGGTTCGCAGCAGTGTATGCAGCCTCTACGATCACCGGTTTACTCAAGTGTAAGCGGTGCACGCGGTGATCCGTGCTCGGTATACGGCTGTGTACGCGGTGCGCGGCGTCGGGGCACGCCAATGTACGCACCCCACTGTTCGGCGTACGCTAGCGTATACAGCATACAGTATTCGGTACACGCCAGCGCATCCCGTGAACGACGCCCGGTCCACACAGCGTCCACCGACACAGCGTCAGCGTCGGCGCGCGGCAGCGGCGCTGACTCACATCCTCCTGACCGGCGAGGTGGTCGAGGGGCCGCGCCTCCGGCAGCGCGCCCATGATGAGCGGGCTCGGCACGGCCAGCAGCTCGGCCAGCTGGCTGGGCACCACCGGCACCAGGCAGTGCTGCCAGACGAACGGGCACAGCGCCGCCTGCACCGCCGCCACGCTCGAGGAAAGCACGCTGCGGGCACGGCGGGCGCGCCGTCAGAAAGGACCCGTTGCGGGATATTGCCGCCACAGAGAGCCGTCGTGGGAGCTGGTGTGGGTTAGTTCTCCGCTGGCGGGCACCGGGGCGAGGGGATCAGGAGCAGGCCAAGACGCCACCGGGACGGGTGTAACACTTGCGGTCGCAACAAATCAAACAAACAGAGCAACCCCAGTGGACCCAGTAACGGCGTAACGTGCCGAGGTCGCCCGGCATGGAGGTCATTTGCAAAGCACGTGCAGAGAACACCGCCACAATCATACAGCACACTTCAACGCATATCGGAAGTGCCCCGCCAGTGCACACGCAGCGTGCAGGTGGCTTTGTTGTCTTATTTTTGGGAAGGGAACGCGACTGAATTCATTGCACATCCTTTCATGGAGCGTCTACAGGGCTCATATTCGCGCTCTGGGAACATAACTCTACCGGTATTCGAGCCCGGACCCACAAGTGGGAGCCGAAGATGCTGAACACTCGGTCACTCCTTCATGTTCCATCACTTCACGTCTGCTATCCACATCAGCCGTAACGGCCGTCCCACAGACAGCTATTCGTCAACCGCCGCTCACGGACTTGAACCAAACATTCACGCCGACGTTTCAGAAAATCGGGAACACCAAAAGCTGTTCCAACTCGGCCAATGCGCAGCGTGCACCGGGCGTCACAGATAAGGGACTGTTGAAGGACAAGATAGCACATCAGCACCCACGTGTCGCCACTCGACGTGGTTTCGGATAGCCACGTCAAGGTCTTTGAAGCCACCGCCTGCAGCTGCTCGCGCTACCGTAAACCGCTGCATACCAAGGTAGGCAGGCTCCTGTACTATGTTGTCTGTTCGGCAAGGTCAGTGGGTTACGAGTACGCCGCTTCCTATAATGTCTGTAAAATAGGGGTCACCACAGCTATTATACCAGTAAACTATCGACCGTTCGCCAAGAGATCTAGCAAGCTGTGCCTATGGAGGTCGACCCGAGTCCGCTTAACCAGTAACGTGGCACGTGGCGGCACGGGGAGCACGTGCCCACTCTCCCGCGCTACCCTACCCTCTCCGGATCGGCTCAGCTAACCAAGCGCCAGGACGTGTGAGACTGATGCGTCTTTCCCCCCCCCCCCCCCCTCCAGTCAGCTCGTCCGTTTCTCTGACAGCTGACAGCGCCGAATCTCTGACAGCTGCCTACCGTGCGTCTCTCTCTCTCTCTCTCTCTCTCCTCTCTCTCTCTCCCTCTCCCTCCTCCCTCTCCCCTTCTCCCTCTCCCTCTCCCTCTCCCTCTCCCTCTCCTTCTCCCTCTCCCTCTCCCTCTCCCTCTCCCTCTCTCCCCCTCTCCCTCTTCTCCCTCTCCCTCCTCTCTCTCTCTCCTCCCTCTCCCTCTCCCTCTCCCTCTCCCTCTCCTCTCCCTCTCCCTCTCCTCTCCCCTCTCTCTCTCTCTCTCTCTCTCTCTCTCTCTCTCTCTCTCTCTCTCTCGTCCCCGGGACCTCGTTCACTTCCTGCACGGGTCACGAAGCGTGACGACAGCGCCTCTGGTGGTGCGGACGGGCCGTGCCAAGCCAAGCAGGACCGTCCCGCTCCCGGCTATTTCCACCGCGAGCGCCGGCAGAGCGCCGCGTGACCGTACGCGTCCCGCGGTCTCAATCGGAACGATCGGTGAGTGGTCAGTGAATGCCGTCCTCACCAGTGGTCAGTGCTCAATGATCTCGCGTCTCCTCGCCACAGAACACTCGTCTAACGTGCGATTGCAAAGGGACATTGAGGCAGTTCGGTGACGCCATGAAAGTTCACCACATCTTTGGTAAATCAGTTGTACAATTCCCAATCGCATCATAGCTATCATACCTGTCCAGAATCCTCTACTAGCATGATGAACTAGGCAGATACCTTTCACGCTGTCCCATAGAATGTCCCTCGCCAAAACAATCGTTGACAGTGAAAAACGAGGCTTCCCAACGGGCCAAGCCGTGACACGGCGAGCTCGATAAGCAACGTTAAAGGTAGCATACCACTGCCCGGCCCCATGGTAACAGTATCTGCCCAGACAGAGCAGCCATACAGGTCAAAGCAGGGCCGGGAACAGCGTCCCGGTCCGGCCAGAGACCAGTCCAAGTTCGACCCCCCCCCCCCCCCACTTGTCCCTCGACCTGGAGGACGCCACGCCCCAGGACGGCGTCTCCCCGGCCGGCGCGCGTCCAGCCGCCGCACTGACCCGAGGTGGGAGCTGCAGAGCACCAGCTTGCGCTCGAGCAGCGCCGAGCTGAACAGCTTGATGAACAGGTCGACCCCGAGCCGCCGCACCAGCTGGTACAGGCCGCCGTCATCCAGCCGCGGGTCCAGCGGACGGCGCACCAACGACGGCTGTCGGCGGCACACCCAGGCCGTCACGGTTGGGTAGGGTCGGGTCACGGCCGGGTCAGCGACTGACCGGCACGCTACTGGGAAGGCGGCGATACGGGCGGCAACGGACCGCTAGCGCGCGGGGCGGGGCAGCCACCCGGCGCTCTGAGAGCAGCGTGGTGGCATTCAGACACTTGGGCGGCGGAGATGCCAATGTTTTGTCATGCTATCACGGCCGCGCCAGGGGTTCGCTGCCCTTTGTTGCTCCCCACGCTCAACATCGGCCAATCAGCGGCGAGCCGGACGACGGTCAACCCAGCATGTAGACGCCGCAGGCACAGTCGATCGGCCTGGCAGGTCAGTGAGGGCCGCAGGGGCCCACCGTACCGGTGGCGAGAAGTTATATTTACGTCCTGGACAGCCAACTGGATGAATTTTGGAGCACAGCCAATCAATGACAGTCGCTATTGATTGGCTGGGCACACATAAAGGAGACCAGTGAAGGGCAACAGTGAGGCCAGCGGTGACCGAGGGGAGAGCCGCGAATTCCGACACCCGAGAGAATGGACGTGAACCCTGCGGTCACCGCACACAACGGCCTAACGGGGCGACTCGGTGAACATCAAGCAGCGATCGAGAGAAGGCCACATAAGCAGCCTCGGTTCGATCTGGGGGCATTACATACATAGCCCCATGAGCGGCCCAGTGAACATACCCCCGCCAGAGAGGGGGAGTACACAGCCGTACCTCCAGCGTCACCGGACCGGCACTGGCTGGCTCCATCGCCTCGCCCGCGGGACAGGCGGCGGGCACGGGCAGCACGGAGACCGAGCCGCCCGGCGCCGGGAACGGCTGGTTATACAGCTCCTCCAGCACGGAGAGTCGGTGCTGCTCTGACGTGCCGTGGTGTTCCAGAATGGCAGAGAGCAGCTGCACGGCGGGGACAGCACGTCAGCAATGCCCGGCGACGCGACGGAAGCCAAACAAGGCTGGTGTGCCACAACCTGACGCACGCCGCATGCTTAAGCCAATGTCTGCTCCATCAGTCAGTCGGCTGCAGAGTGCTCCACACGGCTAGGCTAGCCTTGAAGCGAGCATTCGCCACAAGAACAACGTGTTCAAGCTGCAATGCATCACCCCCTCTGACCGGGATGGGCACCGCGCCGCCCCTGCGCCGACGCCCGCTCAAGAGCGGCCCCGCCGACCGGCGCACCTGCGAGTAGAAGGCGCCGGCGTCGTGTCGCGACAGCAGGCAGTAGGCGATCGGCAGCGTGACGGGCTCGCCGCCGGTGTCGGCCGTCAGCCGGCGGCAGTAGCCGTACGAGCGGCCGCCGCGCTCGTCCGTCACCACCAGCGTGTAGGCGGCGCCACCGTCGGCCGCCGAGCGGCCCCACTCATCCGGCGCGCGCTGCCACCGGTCGGCGTCCGGGAAACAGAAAGGCGCCACGTCCGCCTCTGGCGCCACCTGCCAGCGCGTCCGGCGGCCGGGTCAGGGGAGGGGAGAAGTGGGCCTTCCGCAGGTCACTGTGAGGACGACGGGTCAGGGCAGCCGAGGGGACGGAACGAAAACAGCGGGCCACTGCAAGAAGGGTAACGGCAGGAACCTCCAGTTTCACACTTTTTCTCAAAAGAGACTAAACAGTCGGCCAATTTGTCATGCGAACGGCCATGGCGTGCAGCAAAATTGGGGCCGATAGCGCGGTCTCGATGCCCCTACTCCACAGTCAAACCAGGAGACAAGACCGCCTCGCCTCTCGCGCGCTCCTTCAGCCGATGTCTACTCCGTGAAAAACACTGCAAGACTCCGCGGCCTGCATCTGTCGTGTTTCTGCTGACGGCCGACACTGCGTACTGCCCCCACACGACAAGGCTTCCCAACAACGAGGCAGCTGCGCCCCGGGCGTGCGCGCGTGCGCGGTGTGCGGCGGCGCTCCGGGCGTACGCGAGCGCGCGGTGTGCGGCGGCGCCCCGGGCGTGCGCGCACGCGCGGCGTGCGGCGGTGTCCCGGGCGTGCGCGCGCGCGCGGTGTGCGGCAGCCTCACATCGGGCGGGTATCTGCTGATGATGCAGGGCTCCAGACTGCCGTCGGCTTCGGCCGAGAGCGCCACCACCAGCAGGGCGTCGAACAGCCGGTCGGCCGGACCGACGCCGGGCCGCGGACGGGCGCCGCCCATCTGGAGCAGGTCACGCCGGTCAGGTGGGGCGACGACGGACGACGACAGCTTGCACCGGTCCCACCAGACCAGACCACGCACGATGGCGCCAGACAGCACACAGCATCGGTGCGGCACGATCACCGTCCAATAGCGGGCTTCAGCAGCGGGAGGCCGTCACAGAGTCCGTCGCGTGTGTGGATACTCTCGGATGACGCACACGGATGGACAACATCCAAGCGCGCCCCGCAACGGCCGAATGGCCCGACACCAGAGAGAGATTGTACCAATACCACACCAGCGCGGGCCAGACGCAGCTGGCGGGCTCTTCCGCCGCGTAATGGAGGAGTTACCGACATCCTCCTGCAGCACGTCATCGGAGGAGGATGTCACCGCCCGCCCGCCGGATATGGGAGGAGTTACCGACATCCTCCTCCAGCACGTCATCGGAGGAGGATGTCAATGTTCACCCGCCGGATATGGGAGGAGCGACCAACATCCTCACTCGGCACGTTACCTGAGGAACATGCCACGGCCCGCTCCGCCCGACCGGTTCGCTCACAGACGCCCCCCCCCCCCCTCCCCAAGGGGCACCCGGCGGGCTTTCCAGCCCTGCAGCGCCCGCGACGCCCGGCGGCCATGGGCCGGTCCCTCACCTGGCTGCTGACCCGGCGCAGGTAGTGGCGCCGACGCAGCACCAGCGCGCTGGCGCGCTTACGCAGCTGGCAGCCGCCGGCCTCGGCGGCGGGGTCACCGGACGCCGACGCCAGCTGAGAGCCCATCGCCTGCACGGCCTGCGGGGAGGGACGGGGATAGTCAGCTGATGGTCCATCAACGGTCGGACAGAGCCAGCTGAGAGCCCACCGCCTGCACGACCTGCGGAGAGGGACGGGGATAGTCAGCTGATGATCCGTCAACGGCCGGACAGAGCCAGCCGAGGCCCATCGCCTGCACGACCTGCGGGGCGGGACGGGGTCAGTCAGCTGATGGTCCATCAACGGCCGGACAGAGCAAGCTGAGGCCCACCGCCTGCACGACCTGCGGGGCGGGACGGGGGCAGTCAGCTGATGGTCCATCAACGGTCGGACAGAGCCAGCTGAGAACCCATCCCCTGCACGGCCTGCGGGCGGGACGGGGTCAGTCAGCTGATGATCTATCTCCTGCTCAGCCCGTAATCTTGAACAGAAATGGCATACAGACAGCAGGTTCTACCCCGTTCAAACCTTTGGTGTGCAGCGGAGTCATTTGGCACCTCACGCCCAGCCTGTAACGGAAGACAAGGACGGTCGGCTGACCATCACATGACAGTCTACGTACTCCCTCCAGTTCGCATCACGTCGTCGACTCCGTGGGGCATAACCACATTACTAAGCAAAGCCATGACATCCCCTCACCATACAGAAATAGTCCCAGCGAGCGACGCGTATCGTGAGCCTGGACAACTAACGGCCGCAAGCACAAACAATGATGGCGATTGTGAGTTGGGCTTAAGCGCGCTGGCTGCCGAGGTCATATGGCGTCCATACGAACAAACAATATGCGCAGCACTAACAGTATGGGTGGTACGGTGTTTCAAGTGTCGGGCTCGTTCACACAGCGTGGGGCACGCATGGTGCGCTACGGGTTCACTGAACCTGCGTGGGTTCAAAGTCCATCCCAACTTTTTGTGTTTTTCTGACGAGGAGAACCCTCTACCAAGGCCCACAATATCGTGGGACCACACATTAAACAGTTCGCGGCGTTGTACGGCCCAGTGTCTGTTGCAAAACGGCCATGTCCATCTAAAAGCACTCCTGCGGCGGGCCAATACCTAAACAAGCCATGCACAGTCCGGATGTCGATGTTCCAGCGAACCACTCACAATCCAGGAGAACATTTCAGTCCAGAAATGATAACAATGACGTACAAGAAGGCGGACTGCACACTACGTAACGAAAGCAGCTGCACCTCTTTCCCAACCGCCCAAACCGGTCACTGTGACAACGGGACACCAGGGATGTTCCGCACTAGCGACGATACCGAAAGCGCGTGCCAGCAGCCCCCCCCCCCCCCCGGCATCGCCCAAACCCCAGTCGGCGCCACTCACCGGCCCGCTGTGACGCCACGAGCGCCTATTGACAGCGACACACGTCGCAGCTATCGCCGCGGCACACCATTCAGAACATACAGCACGTGACGGACGGGCGGTCCGTGACGTGTGTGCGGCCGTCCTGGTCAGGACGCCTGGGGTCCAGTGACCACGCGACCCCGTCCGTATACCCCGCTGTCCGGTCTGGTGCACTTCGCGGTCCGGTCTGGCCCACCCCACGGTCCAGCCAGGTGCACCCCACGGTCCAGCCAAGTGCACTGAGCGTTGAGCCGGGCCGGGCCGTGACTCCGTCGCCGTCCTTCAACCAGAGCCAGTCCAAGGCCGCCGTCACGGCATCGTGACGAAGACAACGCCATCGGTCTGACCGGACCAGCGACGGCAGGCGGCAGCCGGCCGCAGACGCCGAACAAAGGATGCGCTCCCACCGTTACGTCGGTGAACGAACGGCGAGGGCAGGACGGGACCTGGCCTCGCTAAAACTGGGAAAGCTGACTCATAGCGAGCGTAAGTCGGTTCGCGCGGGGCGGCTCACGTCCCCATAGGTGAGCGACGGAAGCGCCCGCTTGACAGCCAGCGGCACGGCGCTGACAGCGATTGAAGGGGGCGCAAACAAAGGCATCCATTCCGGGAAAACCAGAACAGCGCGCGGTACGTTTGCGTCATGTAAGCAAAACGCAGAGGTGGCTGGGTTACCTCAACACCAGGCGCCCTACTTATGGGGTATCTACACAAAACCGCAGCCGAGCCAACAGCAAAAAGGCGTTCGCTCCGTGTCTGCCAAGAGCGGAGTCTGTCGCTCTTAGCGGTGCTCACGTCCACGGAGAGACAAACAGATGACGTCTTCTTCGCACGCTCAACACAGACTTCGGCTGCTCCTCACTAAGATGAAACCCTTCCCAGAGCTTTGCGCCGCTAGAACAATGCGGAGTTAGTGGCTTGCTCACCCACTTTACCGTGCTGCAAAATTCGGACGGAGAACTGCGCCAAAAGCAGGAAGCGATCTCCCGGCCTTGCACACCGTCAGAAACCGCGACACGCCGCGGTCGACCGACACCGACATACATCATCGTCACACGTCACTGTCACACGTCACCGCCACACGTCACACGTCACCATTACTCGCCACCGGCCACTCGTCTCCGTCGCTCGCCACCGGTCACACGTCACACGTCACCATTACTCGCCACCGGCCACTCGTCTCCGTCGCTCGCCACCGACACACGCCATCGTCACACGTCACTGTCACACGTCACACGTCACCGTTACTCGCCACCGGCCACTCGTCTCCGTCGCTCGCCACCGGTCACACGTCACCGTCACACGTCACTGTCACACGTCACACGTCACCGCCACACGTCACCGTTACTCGCCACCGGTCACTCGTCACCGTCGCTCGCCACCGGTCACACGTCACCGCCACACGTCACTGTTACACGTCAACATCTCAGGCAGGGACGCTTCCGGCGATAGCCGCTGACGCCCGACGTTTAACGGGCTGGCGTTTCGGCCAATGAACGTCGCTGCACGTGCGTGCGTGCACGCGCCGCTAAGCTCGCAAACGCACGCACTACGCGCTTATACTCTTCAGAAATGCACTACCTTGTCACCATCCCTACTGCTCAGACGTGACCCGACCACGACCGGTTATTTGCAGACTCGCCCTGTCCCTTGACATGGATCCATCAAGCATTCCTACTTTCTAGATGGACGTGCATGAGATACAACTCGCATGCATACATTCATACAAGCTGCCCAATACGTACACGTTGGTAAATATGTGTCGCAATATTTCGCCCGTCGCCTGGTCTACATCCTGATCCTTGTCACCCACACAGCTATCATCCGCCGTAAGATGCGCTGCTACTGCTGACTGCAGTCCTCAGCGAGATAACGCGAACCCTGCCTGTCGTCCTCCTGTGCGCGTTGGACCGCCGCGGCCACCCCGAAGAGCGGACGCCGGCGCCGGGCCCGCTCGCGGAACCGGCCGGCAGTCGGCGTCGCCAGATCCCGCCGACCGCCCAGTCCCGCGTCGCGTACCGGCCGGCCGGACGCCGCGTGCGGCCGCGCGCCACGTCCGCGTCCGGCCACGTGGCGCAGCGGGTGCACGGAATGTCGGGCTCGCAACATGCGGCGCGCTCATCTCGGCATGTGCGGAAGTGCTGGTCCCGGGCCGGCACGACAAAGGTTTACAGTCCCAGGCCAGGCGAAGGCCCGCCGCAGGCCGGCACGGGACAAGGTATTCAGTGCGGGTTAACGAGGCATAAGTCCTCTCCTCTCCTGCCAGCGCGTACTTACTGATTCTGATGCCTCCATGCCGCTTGAAACAGACGCCCAGTTAGACCACAACTCAAACGCCAGCAGGCCACGATAGAACCAGCGGACACGGGCGGCGCGGGCACCTGACTGCGCCGACCCGGTAAGCGGAGCTGCAGGCGGGTGGAATGCGGGGGCCGCTCAGCGGCGGCCACGCGACGCAAGGGTACCAGGTGGGCCGGCTCCCAGAGCGCGGCCCGCTCACCGCCGCCTCAGCAGTGACTGCGGTGACCCGGGCGGGCTCCGCGGCCGCACGGCGCCGGCCGCAGAGTGCTCGTCGCCCAGGGGTCACTGGAGGGGAGGAGGGGACGCTCAGGGGTCCACGCCAGGTTGCGGCGGTGCAGTTACGCGCCACGGAGCGGAGATGAGTGGACGGAGACCGGTCAGGCGGGCTCTCAGCTTACCGTGGGCCGTGACATCACCGGAGCGACCGCAGAACGCGGCCGCTTCACTGTGGACAACACGGCCACAGAGCGCCAACTGCACACACAGGTGCCCGGCTTCCACCGCCTCGTTCCTGCGGACTACCTCGGGAAAATACCGCCTCGTTCCGGCAGGCTATCTCGGAAAAGGCCATCATGGCCTACTGCAATTTTGCGTCGGTCGGAGGCAAACACTGAGCGGTGGTCGGATGTGGCGGGATGCCCTCCTCTGGACGGTCGTCCGGGTGGTCAGGGCCCAGCCCGCCACGAGGCAGAGCCTCTCGCACAGAGGAAGTAAAGAGGAATAGTGGCACACAAGGGTTCCAGTCACACAGTAGGCCGTGAATGTGTATCAAGCTAGACCACGTTCATTTTCGAGACCCGATATAAAACTGCCCCCGGGTCATTTTACGCGCGATAGTATGGCCAACGGACCATTGAAAAGTTAAGGCTGCTGATTTGTATAAACGAAATATACAAAGGGAGTGATATGGTAACAAACGTTTCCAGCCAACATGGGTTCCAGAAAGAGGACAAGCTTGCAGAACAACCTCTGCTCCAATACCCACAGACCAACACAAAACTTTTACTGTCAACAGTCAACGAATTATTTGGCTCAAGGCCGCTATGAAAACTACACAGCATGATAAAATGTCATGCTAAGCTAAAATGTCGCATAAATAGAGCAACGCGCTGACAAAAAAGATGCCATGTTAAGGAAACACAGCCTACATTTCCGCGGGCTTCTCGTAGCATCTTTTTTGAATGGTTAAAGCACTATAATTCCAGGACCTCCCAGCTACCGCAGCCCCACTCGCCGAAGCAAACAAGAATATCGCACATGCGTTCATTACCGGCAGGCTTTACTTCCACCGGGGGTGGTGGACTCAGCGGGGACGGGAGCGGGGGCGAAGGCGGAGGCGGCGGAGGGGGGGGGGGGGGGGGCGCTATCTAGCGCGGTGCAGCGTCAGCCGCCCAGAAAACCAGTCAGTACGCGATGCACGCACCGTCGGATCGGGAGAATACGAGACGGGGAATAAAGGTATCGGTAGCATTTTTGTGTACCTCTCACAAACCGACATAAAACCCTGAGGCGAGGTCGGTCCAGACCACGGCTAGAGTACGCTCTGACCGTGGGGCCTCCGGCACCGTGCCACGCGGCGGGGGCTCACCTGGTGACGGCTGCGGGGTGCCGGCGGCGGCGGAGCCCGGCTGGAGGCGTCCCAGCACCGCAGCGACGGCCGTTCCAGCCGCTTGAAGGCGCCGTTGCGACGCAGACCCGGCGGCGAGCCCTGGAGTGAGAGAGAGAGGGCACCGCTGGAATCACAGCACGCGACGTGCGCACCCCAGCGAGAAAGACAAAAAAAAAAAACAGACGGGGAAAATGCGTATCAGAAAATTGTTCGTGTAAGCCGCACATCCGCATATCTTGCAGCCCGACATACAGCCCTGACTCGAGGACAGTCCCTGCCAGTGCACATCCAGCACAAACCTGGAGCGAAACAACTCAGGCCAATGCACTCCTTGCATCCTCCGAGGCACTTTCCACTTTCCAGTCATACCAGCATCTATATATTTCTAGCACACCCTCGAAGGCACCTGAACGGGGGTGGCCGTAGCCAATCGTCTTCATTCTTTATCACAGTATCTGCTACCATTGCAGACTCCCCGAATACAGGAAAGCGCTCATAGGGTGATAGGAGCTAGAATCCAAGGAGCAGGGCCTGTTTTGGCTTCCCCCTAAACCAAATATCCAATTATAACAGTTCTTAAAATTAAAACACATACATGTCACACAATGCTTGACGCCCATCTTCGAAGGAGACGCCCCAGGCGCAGATAAGCGAGCGGCCGATAAGCCTTACAATTCACATCAACACACTAAGCGTCAAACCACCGCTCCGTCACCGCTTCCCAGTCGTCTTCCGTGCCAGCCGAGGACAGGAGCGTGCCCTGTCCCCTGCCCTGCACAGTCCAACCAACTCACCGCCGAGCTGGTGACCGAGACGGGCCGCTTGGCGTCCGGCAGACGCTCGTACACGTGCTCGCGGCTGAGCGTGCCGTAGAGGGTCTCGTCGCTGGCCGAGCGACGCAGGGGCCGAGACACAGCGTACGGCGCCACCGGACCGGCCGCAGCCGTGCGCCGGCCCGCCGGCGGCGGCGGCGGCAGCGCTGGAGGCGGCGGCAGCTCACGCGCGCACAGCGACGGCACCTCGTACACGTGCTCGGTCGGGCCGGCCGGGCCGCCAGCGGCGGCGGCGGCGGGGCGCGGCTGGAACGACTCCAGCCAGCCACGGCGGCGCGTGTCGAGGTCGCTGGGCTTGCGCGCCAGTGCTGGCCGCGGCCCGGAGCCGCCGCGCCGGATCGCCACGGTGGTGGCGCGCGCCTCTCGCGCCACCACGTACGCATCGTGCTCGAAGGTGCGCGGCGGCTTGCGCGGCGGCGGTCCGGCCGGCAGCGGCAGCGCCGCTACCTCCGGCCGCCGCGGCACGACCGGCTTCGACGGCTCGTTGTTGTTGTCGTGGACGGCGGCCATCTCGCGCACCAGCGGTCGGTGGGGCGGCCCGGCCGCCGCCTGCCTCGACCCCGGCGGCGATGCCTCGCCGCCCGCGCGCGCCGGCTCGGCGGCCGTCTCCTCCACAACGGTCACTTCTTCGGCGCCGTCGGCTGGCGCGCGTCGCTCCATGCCGCTGACGCGGTCGCTGACGCGTGCCTTGAGCGCGGCGTTGCGCTTGAGCACAGCCGGTCGCTCGCGCAGCAGCGGGCTGACGTGGGCGCTGACGGGGCGCGAGCGGCGCAGCCCGATGCGACCTCTCGCTGCTGTGGTGGCGCAGCTTGAGTGGCGCGCTGGTTCGGAAGCTGGCAGTGCGACGTGCCACCTGAGCACGGGGCCGGACCGCCGCCGCCGCCAGACTCGTCTCCTCGAACCGTTTTGTCATCTCCTGCACGCTCGTCATGCTTTTGTGATGCTCAGCCACCCATAGTGCTCTTGAGACATCTGGAGCTAGAACAAAAGGTGAATGTGAGTCCTCAATTGACCAGATAGGGCCAAGGACAGTAAAGACAAATGGGAAAATAAGATTTTTAAGCCAGTTCAAAACAAAACAATGCACAAGCATAATGCTCAATATCAAGGTAACTCCGGGGATGCACCATACATGTCAGACTTACACTTCACTTCTGGTGAAATTGGAAATGAGTGCAGCATAGAAAATAATGTAAATTAGTGAAGGTGTAATATTTTTTTCTAGAATGTCTACAAGCTTGAGAGCTTGGCCAACCAGATGGGCTCAAATAAACCATCGGTTTTTCAGTTGGAAGTGCAGTACATTAAAGCTATCCATATCCTGACAATTGTTATATGTTCCACATGTGTGACTCCACATATGCCTTTGTCTTACTGTCAAAACCCTACATCATGCTATGCTTTCATGAAATGACAAGAACATTTATCTATCAAACTATCCCCACTCGCAACACCTTCCTCAGAACCAAGTTTGGAACTGGTTCAGATCTGCTTGGGTGTGCATCAGCCAGTTTAAAATGGTTCTTTGTTGTTTGAAGCAAGCATCAAAATCAGCCTGGAGCACTGCAGGTGGAGTCAGAGATGACTTAACTTATGCAACATCAGGCAAACACTATCCAAATGGGCCTAACACCATGCAATGGACAGACAGAAGCTGAAAATGGGTTTGATTATTAACAGCAGGCAGAGCCTATGGACCACAACTAAGGATAATGCTTTCACAAGCAAAACAAAACTTCCACAATTACTTGGGCAGAAATAGTTTAATAGTAAAAAGTGCAGGAAGGTTAAGATATTCAATTTAAAGTAGGTGGGTTTGTTATGGGAATGTATAGTTAATGGTACACACATGATGGGCCTGAACAAATCACTCAGGCTGATCTCCCAAGGTTTATCAACTTCACCTGGGACAGACGTGATGACATGGAAAAGCGTCCTGATCCACACAAACTGTGACAGAGCAATTTTGTATTGTATTCATATAGCAATAATGGCAGTCAATGCTTCATCCTTCTACAACCCAATTTATCTTGAAATAAATTCAAAAGTAAGAGCCTTTTATAGTCCCACATGTTGTATCAATACCAGGCCAAAAATGACCTCACACTCAAAATCAGCGATCCAATTACCATAACACAGCTACATGCATAGTTCCATTGTTTAATGTTTATGCCAGGGACAGAGTCGAAAACATTTTACTCTGGAGTGAAATAGAAGATAACGAGACTCCCCACTCCTACTTTTCTTCAGTCCTTATGTTTCTGCTAACCTCTGAAAGTATGAACATCACAATAATTTTTAATTGCTGTATATAGCCTCCAATCTAGGACCAAAACACACCCCTACCTCCAACTCCTGTGGTTTTGCCCCTCCCCCGCGAAGCACCGCGCCCCCGCACACAACACAAGATTCCGCCGCGCCGTCTGTAAACGAGTTAATTGCGCAGGGTCGTAAACAAACGACTGCTATGACGTCATAAAAGCCTACGTCACATCAGCGACTGCAGCGTAGAAATTCTGCCTTCCAAAGGTAAAACCCCATATGTTTATTTCTGGTCATTGCGCTTTTTATGCCATCTGATTCGTCTTATGCATGAATTCAGACATGTAAACCAATAGTTGAAATTTGTACAAGTTTTTGGCTAAGAGAACGGGCTAAGAGCCTGTGAAACCTTGAACTGTTGGCTTTAATCACAACGTCGGCATGAGTAGACGAATCAGATGACATAAAAAGCGCAAAACGGCCAAAAATTAACATACTGAGTTGTACCTTTGGACGGCAGAACTGTTGTGACGCACATACCTGTGACGTCATAGGTTGCAACTTGTGGATGGCGTTTTGCAGTGGGGAGCGCGGACGCCATCATATCCCCCCGGTTCAGTTTCGCTGCAGTACGTTGGTGGTTAGTTACCGTGGCACGAAAACTCAAAGTTCTACCAAATTCGTTTTGGCGACGAGATTTTCTTGCAACGCATGAGCAAAAGCCTTTTGTTATTCTTGGTCCTTTACAAGCGACTTTAAGGGCTATTCGAGCATCACATTGACATTAAAATATTGAAACAAACATAGGGGGATAGTGACAGAACAAATTTTTTGGCCCTCCCGTGCCTTGACACCTCGATTTTGTCTCTGCAAGCATACATTGGACAAGCCTGTGGAGCACAGGCCACCGCCTTTTGCCCCCAAGACAAGATTTAAGGTTACAGTGACGAGGACATTCTTCCCGGGGTAACGCCCACATGAAGCCCGGGGTTTAGTTTGCAACTGCGGAAACACGACACACACAACAATCGAATATAATATATCACACGTCAAACGTGACGGCGACGACCCAGCACTACTCCGCTGGTCCAGACCGTTAGAAGTGGTACAACAGTAGACGTCTCCTGAATTCAGCCCATAGCATTAACCACATTCCAGCACCATGCAGACAACACACAGCCCAACGCACATCAATGAGAACGTCGGCGATGTGGCTTCTTCGCGCTTGCAACGCTCTAAGCGGTCGACTCGTAGTCACGGCTAGAGCGGATGATACTACCTCAACGCGCACCTGGCAGCAATCCAAACCACAAGAACGGTCTCATTGGCAGTTTAGAAGTTGCGGCACACCGGCATACGCACGCCCCCATACTCACACCTAATCACCCAAACACCATCGCGCATCGGTGTAGCACGCGATCTCGACTTATGGGCGAGCCATGGCGGCCAGTCACCTGGAAGCGCGGTGGTCGCGGGCACTCAGGTTACCCCGGTGGCGTGCGGCCCCGCTCCGCACCGCGGCCGGCTCACTGCGGCACTGCGGCCCGGCCCGCCGCGGCGCTCGGTCAGCAGGTCCCCCCCCCCCCCCCCCCCCAGACACGTGCACCATCCGGCCAGGCTCACGTGATGCACGAGCAGCAAACACCACAGGCGGTTCACGCTCTGTATTATCGTCAATTAAGTCACTTGAGCACACACGCACGCTCACACACACGCCCGCACACACCAAGGCAGGGGACAACGTGACATATGCATACGAGAGGAAGCAGGAGACACCGCACACGGTCATGGTGACAGCTCAAGCGACAACCGTGACTTCCTCTACAAACTACTGACTCTGTAAGGTATCACTGTTACGAAAACGGCAGTTTCTCGATCTAATTGGCCGTTTTCTTTGGTGATTTTTTCTTCTGAGTGGGCGCCCGCTTTTTAGGCGACGCTTTCTTCGGGGATCTCCTCTTCCGTCGGGCACCGCTGCTCTCTGTTCGAAATGTCACGCACTGAAACAATAAGAACATCGTTCATAATTGAAACCCCAGTCACTGGCTATGACAAGCAACAACAAAAGGTAGCTAGACCGTCTACAACACGCAGCAGATTTGCATACCTACATATACCCGCACGTGGCAATCACAATTCGTCACCATTCAAACCAGCCTCGCCCCGATAAACAGACAACACCGGCCGTAGCACACATGCCGCATGATATCAATCATAGATAACGCTTAGGGATTGGCCGGCTTCCGGTGTTCAAGCCACCGGAAGTTTGATAACTAGGTCGTGAGATTGACAGCATGGCAATCAGCCAACCGGTAAGACACGCTCAAAAGAACGGCGCCCAACGCTGATTACCGCAATTGAAAGGATTTGGCCTGCCGTACGGGCGGTAAAAGTGTCTTTTCATGGAACGAGCAGAAATACATTAATACAGAAAACCAGCTTTTGAGGCATTAAAAGACGCCGGACAACGCGAATGTGCCAAAAACGTTTGTCTTCGACTGTTATTGTTTTCGACTTGTTTTCATCTGACTGTAACACTAGCAAATAGCACTGCCATGACTGAATCAATGTCAAGTGCTTGCTTTCCATGCAAACGTGCGCACACCACAATTTTGCAGAATTGTTGCCGCGCGAAGACTGAAGTCGCGGCAAAAACAAAGGCACCAGATCAATTCGCATACACCTCAACTTTCGACAAATTGTCCCATTTTTCGTTTATTGGCTTTGCTTTGTTAGACTACAGCATTATTTTAGATTCGCCATATGCCTTTGAACCTTGTGTGACAAGCCGTACCTGTCTTAACTTTTGTCTAGCTCATTAAACAAACCACACTTGTTCGAGCCTTCTCAAGGCAGTCATGCCGTCACCGAATATGATCTGAGACTCACGAGACTGGATCCCTGCCCTCAGCCCCACCCCCTACCCTCTCTCCTTCTGGCTAATGCCACGTCAGTACACCACTAGGTCATGTACCATGAGGCTCTATTATTTCTGATCCACTGACCACCCCATGACACCACCTGCCTCCATCCAAACACAGCGTGTCTGCCCGGCCCGGCACCCTGAGCGCCGGTCCCACCTGCTCGTCCAGGTAGTCCATCAGCTGTGCGAGCTTGAGTTTGACGCCGGCTGCCTTCAGCTGCTGGTGCAGCTTCTCCAGCCAGACGGGCTCATACGTGAGGATCTGGCGGTGCAGCTCCGGCCGGGAGCGGAAGAACGACAGCATGACGGCCGGCACGTCCGGGCCCGACACTGCGGCGCAGGGCGACGAGCGCTTGGCGTTATGGGCGGCGTCACGTGACGCCAACGACAATGTGTGACGCGATGAATACTGTACCGCTGGACGCGGTGTGACGTCAAGGATAGTGCCAGACAAGTATGACCCTCCGGATGTTGTGGAGTATGAGCGCACCCGTGGGGCTATGTTATGCATCATGTGGAGGCATCGGCAACGTGTGCCGATAGCCACTCAAGCACACGCCGCAATGTGATGATAAAGGTCCTGAAACAAGGCCCGACAGTGCTTCGGACATCGCGTGGCAAGGCCGGGCGTAATGTCATGGACTCTCACGTTGCAAACGCTAATCGAAATGATTCAAGCAGTCCGAAAAAGCAATACCGAACATATCTCCGAGAATCCTTTCCTCGTGGATTCAGCTATAGCCCGCATCATGTCACGCGGCCCATCCGCCCACGCTAGCCCACTCCAGAACCACAGCAGGCTGCAACAGGCGTGCTGCCGCTGCAGCAGGGTCGCCTCCCTGCGGGCTGCCCGGCCGGCTGGCGGCCGCCGCCCACCTGCCGCCCTCTGCAGCCCACCTGTCGCCGCCTGCCCCTGGCGTCGGGCATACCGCAGCTGTCGGCAGTCACGGCCGACGCCCGGCTGACCGCCAAACAACGGGAGATCCCCCTCCCCCTCCCCCCCCCCCCCTCCTTCTGCCCGTCCGGCCTGCATTCACGGTGGACATGGGCAGAGCGGAACCTTCTGATAAGGAAGAAGGTTTTAAATGTTTCAAGAAACATTTACATGCTCTCGGGAAGATAAGTGATGCCTTTTCAACGGCGATTTGAAACATAAGCCACTGTTACCAGGCTTTCAGTAACACAAGACAGGGGCGATACATTGTTGTGGTAAAAGATCAAAAAAGTTTTCATACTGTACACATATCGTAATAATAACTTTCATACAAAAGTGAAATTTTGTGGGACTAGAACGTCAGACAGCCTGCTTGTTTAAAGTAAACAGTGCTTACAGGGAGCATCCCATCTTTTCTGTACTCTTCACTTATCGTTACATTAGACGCAGACGATTTTATCAGTAGTACCGGCTTCCTCGAAATTCTTCTGAAAAGCTCAGAATTTTTATTTGGGGTGGCCGACTCCGTGGGAGAAATCTTATTTGACTCCTAGCTGATCGCTATGAAAGTAACACACTTATTTGTCTTGCTTTTTCCAACGTTTGTGGTCTGTAATGTTTGCAACACACTTATGTGTCAAAATTGCTCTTAATGGAATTATAGCAAATGCTACGAAAGCTTGAAACACTCCGCTTAGACAAAAATGTATGCAAACATGAAGCTATCATCTCGCGAATTCAACAAAACGTTATACGATCGTTTTGATTTCTCGCCTACGGCGTTCGCCACAGCGGGCCTTATCGAGGTGCACTTTGGTTTTGGGAACGGGAGTATCACATCACCCGTGTGACACACTGGTTCAAACTTCAACCCACCAACTTCTCGCTAACAGACCCTTGTCCGCTGGGGCAATCACAAACGTTGTTTTATTCGCACCAGAAGATGTGCGCACGGTCGTTGTCATAACGATGGTCGTCACGACTGTGGAAAAGAAGCGTAGTGCTGTTAAGAAGCGTTGACAGCGTAATTTGGATTCGAAAATAATTAAAACTTAAAAAATTAAATATATTTATTACGCATTGACGGTGCTGCAATGGCCGTAGCCAGTGCTCTCACCAAACGTACTTAGAACTGAGGTTTCACTTGAGTATGCTTCTGAAATATGCCACAAAAGGTGGGATACTCTGGGTAACAAAAGTATCGCGGAAACGACACAAGCGTGTTCCCCCAGGCTAAGAGCGCTGCTGGTTGTCCACCAAGGTGGTTAAATTTCTGCAATGTATCGAACAGCGGCTAAATCAGTTAAAACGCTGGATTTAGCAAATTATCATGACACTAATCGGCGTATTTTTGAGTTAATTCAATCTCAATGTGATAAGATTGTTCTTGAAAACCAATACATCGCTGCAAATATGTTTTCACTTGTTTAAAGTTATTCCAACGTCCATCAATATATGTATATATATATATATATATATATATATATATATATATATATATATATATGTCCGAACAATATAGACGCCCAATCTCCATGCATACATACATTGCATAAATGAATGGATCCATTACGTGGACAGGGCTGGCATCAGGTTCCCAGCCCGGTAAGTTTGTTCTAGTGCTTGAACGCTGACCTATCAACTCCACTGTTGCCACTTAATCTACCGTCCGACGGCAGGATGCACTCATTTAACCAAATCGTGAGCTTCGAAAAACGCATTTTGCCTTTGGACGGCTGCGCACGGGTATAACGCAAGAAGGTGACCCTAGAGACCACCCGATCTCCGCCGGCCGCTCTGCCGGGAGGAGGCGCGCCTCACCGGCCTGCGATGGCGTGATGTCCTCGTCCTCATCGTCGTCCAGCAGGCCAAACGCCTGCGCCAGCCGGGCGGCGGCGCCCTCCGAGCCGGACGACTCCGAGCCCGAGCGGGAGCGGCGCCGAGCCGGGCCCGACACGGCCGACACGGGACTGCCCCGCTCCTGGGAGGACGGCGCCGAGCTGTCCCGGTCGGCAGCCAGCGGGACGGCACCGCCGCCGTCCCGGGACGACAACGCAGCACGGTCCCGGCTCCGTGCCGGCGGCAGCAGGCCGGCAGGGTCGTCCCCGACCGGTGTGTCCCCGCGGGGGCCGTCCCCGCGGGGGCCGTCCCCGACCGGTGGGTCCCTGCAGGAGCCGCCACCGGTCGGTGGGTCGTCCCCGACCGATGGGATACCGCGGGCCGGCGGGTGAGTCTCCTCGTAGATGTGCGACAGCAGCGCCACGGCCTTGCGGCGGGCGATCGGCTTAACACCGATCCTGGCCAGCTCCCGCTGCGAGAACGGGACGGACGCAGGTGAGACGATCGCCGGGAACGGGTGACGTCATGTGCAAGCACAACGTGTCACGTCTCGGCAACGATCACACAATCAATCGTGTGTCACTAAAGTGCCCAGCCAAACTAGGTCAGGGATACTTCAAAACGGAACAACCAATATCAGGTAAAAACACAGAAGGACATTAAGTTGTCAAATGGCACAAAACTTCACGGCTCCCATACCATTAAGACGGATCAAATTTATGTCTGCCTCCTCAACAAAGCGGGCCGGGGACTACTCTCGCTTCCAGACGCCCGTGCTGACCTTGAGGTCCGGCGTGAGCATGAGCACATAGTTGGGCATCGGCGTGGTAGAGTCGCGCAGCACTACGCGGTACGGGTTGACTGGCGTACGCAGCGGCGGGCCGGCTCTGTCGTGCCCGGCAGCCGGCGTGTCCGGCGGCTCGGCGGCGGCCGGGGCGCACCGCCGGGCCGGGGTGGCCGCGGGCTGCGCGGCGGCCGGCGTGACCGGCGGCTCGGCGGCGGCTGGGGCGCGCCGCCGGGCCGGGGTGGCCGCGGGCTGCGCAGCGGCCGGCGTCACCGCACCGGCCAGAAGGCTGTCGTCTCGCCACAAGTCGGAGCTGTCCCGCCGGCCGCTGCCTGAGCAGGCGTCGGGGCCGGTGTCGGCAGGGGACGAGCGAGCGGCCGCTGGCGGCGCGCGGACCGGCGTGACCGGCGGCAGCGGCGGTGGCGGTTCCATGAGCTCGATGTAGCCGCCGTCGTCGAACCCCTCCCAGACGTCGCCCAGAGGGGCTTCGGACGGCGAGCCAGGTGCGTCGGGCGGCTGCGACGCGGCCTCCACCGGCGACGACGGGACGCTGTCCTGCGCGGTGCGCCGCCGCGGGCTGGGAGACCGCAAGCCCGCCGCTCGCTGGGAGGGCGCCGACGGCGGCGACTCCAGGATCTGCACGTCCGAGTCGGCCGAGGCCGGCCGCGGCGTCGTGCTGGCCGCCGGGGACATGCCGGCCGCCGGCCAGCAATCCGGAGTCAGCGAACCGCCGCGAGGCACACCGCCAACCGGACCGTTGGCCGTGCCGTCCTCCCTGCCATCACCCGGGCTCGATCCAGTGCGGGGCCGCTTAGACGCCGGCGCCGCCGCCGCCGCCTCGCAAGCATCGGCCGATTCGCCGCGCAGGGCGACACTGGGCCGTTTCCGCTGGCCGACAGGAGAGCGGTCAATAGCCAGAACTCCGTCAACATCCCAGGTCAGGCCAGGTGCGCCGTTAGGAGCCGGAACCGTGTGGCGTTCTGGGCTTGCCTGGACGGGGACCATCTCGTCAGCCGCGGTCGGCGAGCTGGCGCCGGCGCCGGGATCACCGTCGTCGTCAGAGGCGGTCAGGTCGAACAGCTCGGGACTGCGTGGCGGCGGCGGCGGGGACGACCGCACGGTCTCCTCCGCTGCCTCGCTGACGCCGTGCCGGTCCTCGATGTGCCGCGCCAGCTCTCGCAGCCCGTAGCGGCGCGCCAGCAGCAGCAGCTGCGGCAGAGGCTTGGCGCCGGCGCCGCAGTCCGCCTCGCCCAAGTACAGCAGCCGGACGAGGACGGTGGCGGCGCGGCGGCTCACGCCCGGCAGCTGCAGCCGGCCGCCGGCGGCCGTCGCCGCGCGGTACAGCGCCGGGCAGCGGACAGCCAGCACGGCGGCGTGCGCGGACACCTCGCCGTCGGCGCAGAGCAGCACCACCACCGGCGGCCCGTCGCCCGACCGCAGCAGCGCCAGCAGTTCGGCGCCCAGGTCGCCGGCCCGGCCGCGGAAGCACGGCGAGCCGTCAGAGTCGTCAGCGGGGCTCCGCGTGGAGTGGGGCGGCGGAGCGGCGCGAGCCAGGCGGCACTCGTCGGGAGGGGCGGAGGTGGTGTTGGGAGAGGCGGACGTGGTGTCGGGAGGGGCGGACGTGGTGCTGGGAGGGGCGGAGGTGGTGCTGGGAGGGGCGGACGTGGTGTTGGGAGGGGCGGACGTGGTGCTGGGAGGGGCGGAGGTGGTGTCCTCAGGGGAGAACTCCCCACATGAGGGGCGGGGCGACGTCGCTGACGGACACTGAGCCGCCATCCACTGGCTCGGACGTTGCGGCGCCGTCCTCGTCCTCAGAGTCTGATGCAGGGACAGCCAGTGGAACGGCGGGTGGAACGTGGCTCTGCCGAGAAACGTCGACGTCTCGCGGAGAGTTTGAGGTAGGCGCAGCAATCCTCTTCGGGGTTGTTTGTGAGCGGTGCATGGTTGTCTCGTTCTCCTCTTCACGGAACTCATCCGGGGGCGACAAGGCACCTCCCGGGGGACTATTCAATGATAACTTACACATTTCTCGACTACAGCCTGCTTCTGATGAAAGCCTCATAGGCGACGAGTTCGGGGTTAAATTTATCTCCACTGTTCCAGTAAACGAAAGGCCTTCCGCTTCCACTGTTACATCGCCTTGCTGAGACCCAATTCCCGGTTTTCCTGGCGACTCCGTCTTCGGTGTATCTCCCGTCGCGAGCCAGCCGGCCCTGGTTGGGACCGGTTCCTCCCTCCCCGCCGGTCCCGGCAGCGGCGTCGCGCCTCTCCCGGGCGTCTGCGGTCGGCCGGCGTCTGCCGTGGTGTCGGCCGCGCCGGCCGCCAGCAGCAGCAGGGCTGCCTGCGTGGACGACGCAGGGTCCTCGTCCTCCTCCTCTTCCGACTCCGCCGATCCGGCGACGCCACCTCGCTGTGAGAGCAGGGCGGGAAAACTTAAATACAACTGTACGAAACGCCATGCCGAGTTCGGGTGAACACTGCCACACGCTGGTTACATAATCCTCCAAAAACTCATTCCTGAAGTAGCAATTGTTTTCGTCTCAGATCAGCACCCTGATGCCAGCACAGGGCAGAGGACGGAAACTGCAATCGCACCGTGTGAATGATAAAGGGGGGGGGGGGCTATCACTCACACACGCGAGTAATACTCAGAAGAGTACCAAATCCCCTTAAGCGCCGACGTCGACTACCAACTCATCGCCGCCGACTCCACCCAAGCCGCGCGTGGGGGCTGGGCGCCGAGCCTGGCTCACCTACGACACCACCCAACCCGCGCGTGGGGGCTGGGCGCCGAGCCTGGCTCACCTGCGACTCAAGCACAGCCACGCGTGGGATGGCTCAACGCTGAGCTCGGCTCACCTGCGTCAGACTGAGCTGGCCCGGCACGAGCGCCACGTCCCGCAGCAGGCTGGTGATCGGCGCTGAGCCCGGCTCACCTGCGTCAGACTGAGCTGGCCCGGCACGAGCGCCACGTCCCGCAGCAGGCTGGTGATCGGCGCTGAGCTCGGCTCACCTGCGGCAGACTGAGCTGGCCCGGCACGAGCGCCACGTCCCGCAGCAGGCTGGTGATCGGCGCTGAGCTCGGCTCACCTGCGTCAGACTGAGCTGGCCCGGCACGAGCGCCACGTCTCGCAGCAGGCTGGTGATCGGCGCTGAGCCCGGCTCACCTGCGTCAGACTGAGCTGGCCCGGCACGAGCGCCACGTCCCGCAGCAGGCTGGTGATCGGCGCTGAACCCGGCTCACCTGCGTCAGGCTGAGCCGGCCCGGCACGAGCGCCACGTCCCGCAGCAGGCTGGTGATCGGCGCAGAGCACGGCTCCACCAGGCCCACCAGCTCCGGCACGTAGTAGTCTCCCTGTGGGTGTGGCGCCATGTGCTAAGGCTGGAGTGCGACTGTGAGCTTACCTGCGGTCAGCACTCGGAATTTGGCCACAGCGTTTGTGCGTGCGAATCCGAACCGAAGCATTTAAATTGCACTCCATAAGATTGCCGCAATCAGAGCCTTACTAAGGTATAAAACGGCCTAGTTCCAGAGCCTGAGCGGCATCAGGCCCCCGGCTGGTGACCCAATGCGCCCACCCAGCCACCGCTTCCCATGTGACTGGTTGGACGCGACGCCAAGCGCAGTATGGTACAACTGTTCCCTTCACGAAATTACGACACTTCGAGGACGTTGGACAAAGCAAACAACATCACCACGCCCAGCGTATATTACTTAACCATGTTTTGTCGCTTTATGATAGCACACAAAGGTTGAACTTATACTTCTCACAGATAGCCATGACCCAGAGCACCAAGGGTCAGAATTTCACATCGCAGGGAGGACAAGATTCCATCGCAGACTGAGCGAATGACCAGCACCAAGATAACAATGCGTCAACAAGCTCGGCCGCCCGGCGAAATCCACGCGGTGCCGACACCCACCCACTGCCTGGCTCGATTCAGCCCCCTCCCCCCCCCGCCGGTGGCGCCCCTGACCGCTGACCTTGCCCTGGTCCAGCTGGGCTGCCTTGTCCCAGAGGGGGGTGGCGTCGGCTGTTCGCTGACGGCGCCTCGGTAGCCGCCTGTCCGTCGGCACCTCCTCCTCCTGCAGCACGGGGTCGGGTGAAGACGGACTAGAGGACTGAGCCACGCACGCGCGCACGCCCGCACGCACGCGCACACATGGATCTTACGCAATGGACGCGTCCTGCATGCATGGTAACTTACGTTAGCTGTAAGATTAACCAGCGCATTCCACTGACAGATATCAACAGAGTGACCGCCTGTGGACGGAGGCGTCGATTCACACCGGGCGAGGCCACCCATCCACCGCCCGGGCGTGGTACCACATCCACTACCGCTACTGCTTCAGTCAGTGGTACATTGTTTTCCTGATGGTGACCAACAAGAAGCCTCGCGGTGTCCGATACCACACCGAAAGCTCAGTCTCGTAGATACTCGGTTGCAAAGCGCGACATTCACGTTGTGCCCGGTCGATGGATGACGTGTACTTGAAGAATGGCTGTTTGAGTGACGAACTTGGGAGCACCGTGCCGCCTCTCACACGGCAAGTGAACGAGACGGCGGTGGTCCGCACTAACCCAGGCGAGCAGCTCCGCTACCTTCTCACAGAGCCGGCGGTCGCGCTCCTCGGCCGACACCAGGGTGAGGGCGGGGGGCGCTGCCGGTCCCCTCCGGCCGGCCCGCCTCCGCCGGCCGGCCGCTTGCTCCGCTGCAGCGGGACGGCGTAATTAGTCACGTAATAGTCGGTGTACAGAGGGTGTCCGCATCAAACGTAGGGCTGTCGGCCGGACACGGCGGTCACGGCGTCATCAGAAACACAACAGCGCTCATCTAATGGTGATTAACTGCAACGGCATGAACTCATGTCAACTCATTACCCCACCAACGTCCTCCACCTGACCACTGCCATATCCTCCCTGCACACCACCCGCCTGCCACAGGCCGCGCCTCGCAACGTGCCTGGGAACCCCGCGCTCACGGGCGGCAGCTGGGACCAATGCCCTCTCCTCCTCCCCGCACACCACCCGGCTCCCGCAGGCCGCGCCTCACGACATGCCCGGGACCCCGCGCTCACGGGCGGCGGTGGGCGGCAGCAGTGGCGCGGGCTCGGGCGGCAGGACCGTCGTGTCGCGCTGCGCCTCCACCTCGTGTCCGAGCCCGAGCTCAAGCAGCTGGGTCTCGGCCAGCCGGCGGCGCCGCTCCTCCTCGTCCCGCAGCGAGGCCGACACGGCCAGCGCCAGCTGCAGCTCGGCGTCGGCAGTCACAGCGGGCGCGGCCGCCCGCCGCCGGCCCTGCCGGCAGCAGCAGCCAATCAGAGACGGAGCGGGAGAACTACGGCAGACAACGGCCAATCACCGGTGATGACGTGAATCACGGTCTATAGCAGGCGATCAGACGTCAGAGGTGAGGAGTGCCAGCCAACCAGACGCGGGGAGTAGGAAGAAGCCTTCCACCAGGAGAAAATATGAAACCTCTCCACACCATTCCAAACAAAATTAGCATCGATTACCTGGATTTGCGTCAGCCCGATTAAACGATACCGACTTTTAGAACTGACTTATCATGACACTGATTTGCGATCGTCGCTGATTAAGTGTTAGGTTTTACGACCCACTTCTGCTACAATGTGAACACACAAACCTTTTACTTTCAAAATATCTGCATCAGCGAGACTGGCGCCACGTAGAGAACAGGCCGGTGAGGAGGCCGCTACAAAACAGCCCAAGGCTAGCGTAAACTAACTGCAGATGTCTAAAGCCCCCCCCCCCCCCCCAAGACCCTCACTCCCAAAAATATCCACTACCCTAGAACTCCACGAGATCCTGGATCCCTTCTCGGCACCACGGTGCCTCCACCGTGCCGCGACCTGCCTGCAGCGTTTGACCTAGCTACTCCTCCCTGGCAGAGAGGCGCCGGTGCATACCCCAGCGGCGACGGTGGTGGCGGTGCGGGCCGGCCGGGCGGTCCTCGTGGCCGGCAGGCCGGCGGCGGCGCGCTCACCCGCCTGTCGCTCCTGCAGCTGCACGGCAGCCAGCAGCTGGGCGGCGCTGAGCCCGCGCCGCTCGCTGCACAGCCTGAGGTGGGCGGCGCGCGCCGCTGCCGAGCGCAGCGGCTGCAGGCACACAGGGCAGTCCGGCACCATGGCGTCGCTGGCCGGCGAGTCGGGCCCCGCGGCCGGCGACGCTGATGCCGGCTCGACCCTGGCCGGGTCCGGCGGCGGCCGACACCTCGCGAGCTCCGACGCCCCGCTGGCGGCTGAGGAGTCGGACGGCAGCGCGGCGTCTGGGCACGGGGACGGATGGACAGACGTGGACAGCTTTGGCGGAGGGGTAGCTTTTGAGGACTTTGACGAAGGGACGGATCCCGATACGCCCGACGAGGCGCTGGCTTTTGGGGGGTATGGCGGAGGGTTGGGTTTAGGCGCGCCCGATGGAGCGTGCAGTTTGGTAGACCGCGTCCGACGGGCGGGCGAAGACGGTCGCGCTGCGCCGGCCGCCGCGAAGGACTGTGACTGCTGCCGGACCGCCTCGGTCACGTTGACGGAGGACCGCGACTGCCCGATGGTGGTCGAAGGCACACTGCTGGAGGATTGTGACAGGCATACCCTCGTCCGAGACCTGTGACACAAGGCCTCAGTGTGAGGCGGCGTCTCTTTCACTCCTGCCCACGGAGCGGACATTGAACACATGCTGCGTCCACCAGCACGCGGAACAACCCGTGCAGCAATTGCTGATGAGATTAGACATACCGAAGAAGTTGTTCCGTACAGTAATTACTACAGGGACTGATGCCAAGAAAGTTGTCCAATATGGTTGTTCTTCGATGGCTATGGTGTTGTTTTTCCAAAACGCAACTTCCATACATAATTTGGGAACTCTAGCTCCAAAATGCGGATTTCACGCAAAATTGAGTCGCCATCACCAGACAGCAACGTATGCTGTCATTTCCACGCTTCTGTTTCTGCACAAAGCATCTAATGGCCCATATGGCCTTCACATGTTGGCCCAATTAGCACAACGGTCTCCCATAGGGCCCGTTAACACCAAACCTTTGCAAGATGATTGCAGACCAACGTGCCAAGCGCCGGCAGAAAGAATTACAGCGTACAAGTCGGGAGAAGAGCTCACACCATTCTGCACAACATAAAAAATTGGTGGACATAATCCTGTAACCACCAACAACAACCAACTTCTACTGCCAACTGGCACCCACTAAGAACTGCTCCGTATTAACGCCAACAAATGTCGCGTAGTCGCCACACCACTAATCTACGTGCTGAGCGGCAATACCTGGCGCCATTAGGTCTTAGTTTGTTATTCCTTTACGCTGAAGGGCGCGCCTACTGCTTGGTTCACTTTGCGACCAAAATCAGATCTTCACTTACTAGATCAAACCAAAATGGCAAAACCAGCGACTTCACCACCTAGTGCAGCTACAACCGGGCCCGCTTAAGCAGGGCAGCGCCGACCCCTGACACCCGTACCTCTCGCGGCACTCTTGTCCACCTGTACCTGGTAAAGCAGACGCTGTCCGTGAAGTCGTCGCTGTTGTCCAAGTCCGGGCGGGCGGGCGGCGGCGGGCCGGCGTCGCGCCGGGCGCCGCCGCCCGCCCGCCGACTCAGCTTGTTGGCGCGCTGACTTTGCGACATGACTCGAGTCCGACTCGCCTGGAGCACCGTCACTCGGTCTCCCAGGCACCGGTCGCGCGGTGGCTGCTTCTGCCGCTGTGGTCAGCCACCGTATCACCGCGCTGCATTGCACCGTCGTCCCGCGTGTGGGTCGAGCGGCACCCGCATCGCCCGACACTGTCGTCACGGCTCACGACCAATCGTCGCACGGCACGGCCTGCCTCATCCGAACTGAGTCGTCTCGACTGTTCCAAGCACACACGGCAAAACAATTATGGTAATTTTGAAGGGACTTCCTCGTGGTTTCCATTACATATTTGTTCTCGTTTCGCGGTACTTTTGTTCGCGCTCTTCCACCTCTTTCCGGGTCAGGTATGGAATCATTTTCTTCAGCTTGATGTCTTGGTATACCTGAAAGGAATCACATACAGTACTGGTTGTAAAAAACTGGACAACACACAACATGAATAACTTTGTACGACAAAAAAAAAACACCGACTGGCTTTGAAGCACACATCTGATATAAACACGCAATGGAATTTACACAAAATGCTGAGAATACTGCAAGTACTTCTAATAGCTGACATGCCATCTTTTCTTGCCATCGAAGTGATGTTGCTGTTCTGTGTCCTGTACAAACAGCAACAACAAATACATTCACAATAATCATAGTTTAATCCTAACCATAAAACATAGCTACCACTGCAATGACGATGCTCTATTGTCACAAGAAGTAAATTCAAACTGTGTGAGTGCTTGACAAAAGCACTACCTGTTGTCCATACCTGTCTTTCCTCGTCAGTAAGACCAGGTTCGTTTAGATGAAATTTTTCAGTTGCTCTTGTTCCATATGCCTGATAACTGCAAATGTGTACAATGTTAACATTGACGGTTTTATTTGAAAAAAGATCATCTTAAATGCCACGCTCAGACAATCTTATGCCCAACTGTTGAATGTGCAATAAATTATCAATGGATACCTACATGCAGTGAAATATTTCAAATGCATGATGTGATCATTGCATGTATGGTATGCCCGATATGATGACGAAGATACTACGCTATGTAAAACACGTTGCTCCCAATGTCGCCTCCGGCTACATGCGACAACACCGTAAAAACACCAGGCACTTGCACTCGGGCACAAAACACACTCGGCGCAGTCAAAAACAACATTATAGTTTCTCCTCTGAGCCCTGAGAGTTGGAAGCGTCACAACTTTGCCAAGGCCTTTGGCCTTAGGCCAGGCATCTGGCCTTGTGTACAAAACAAAACATCGGCACTGGCCTGCCTCTGGTCCCATACGCTTGAGCGTGAGATCAGTGGGTTGTTGCGAGACAACCCACTAAACTGACAATGCCTGGGAGTCGCGAGACAAGTACCTATGGCTCATTGGCACCATGAATTTCATCAAAATAGCCAAACAAAAAGCTCCTATAGCTGGTAGGCGGCCACCCCACTCACATGTCTAAAACAGGGAAGTGCTTACAAAGGTCGGCCATGATATGATGTGATATGATATGACACTCGTGCATGTCCCGTCGTCCTAATATACTAAAAACGTTTTTGAGACTGCCAATCACACATTGCTGAAAGCCCAACACTAGCCAGTTTACCTGACCACAGCCAGAGAACCTGTCTGAAATGTGGTAAGCTCTAACACACAAGATCTGATGATATCAGTCTGAATAACCCAACCATCAGTATGTAATGCTGCCACCTCATTTCAATCCCTCCACAAAACTATAAACATGCTTTCTGATTCAATAGTTTTAGCAGATACAGAAATGGTGTTAGCTTCAAAAAACAATGTTACCAGCAACACTTACCTTGGACCTCAGCTTCATGATATTAAACCAACAGCTTTTGCTCAACCTCGAATTTCGTAACCCAAAGCAGTTGACTGCGCCTCCAGCTTTGCATTTTAAAACACCCAGCCACTGGCCTTGGCTTGCTTCAATTTTCCAGGCTTGATAGCCTCCAGCTTTGGCTTTGATCTCAATTTTGACTACATGCCTTGGCCTCTAAATTGGCTTCACAACCAGAAGCCTGCCTATCCCCACCCATGGCTGCTAGAAATCAGGTCATGTACAACAATATACACACATGTAAAATCTCACTGTGACTCAAGTGAAATGCTAAGCACACAGGAATTGTATTAGCTGGAAATATGTCCTGTGAGGACTTTTATCAGGGTTACTGGCATAAATACACATGAAAAGTCCATACTTACAAAGCAAATCCCATCAATACTGAAGATACCACTGCTCCAAAAGCCACTTGGGTTGACAGTCTAGCAAGTGGAGTTCCAGCTATAGTTTTAGGCTTTCTCTTCCATTCAGGCATGTCCACAGATTATTCACAAATTACCTGAAACAAGGAAAGATGTATTCAAAATGAGGGTTTAGGTATGCTTTGAGGCTGAATTAGATTGGTATGATCTGCCAATTCAACTTGAGCACTGGTATCCTTCTACACACATACACACACATACTAAGGATAGAAATGCAACATGTTAGGCCTTAGGGCTGGGTTAAGGATGTGCAACAATAAGTTTCACAGTTGACCCTGTGGTATCATCATAGTTGGCTACCACATGAAGCATTCACAATCCTCATAGCCACACCCATGGTCTAGGGGAAAGCTGCTAGATTTCTTACCCAGCGGCACTAGACATGGGGACAATAGCACCGTCAGCATATTATTTGGCCCTACTGCCAAGGAAAGGCAAGCTGGCAGATGTCAAAGAAGGTTCCATCTACTCCAAGGTGCTTATGCTTCAGCATCATGTGACACAAATAGCCATGCAGTCCTGTCTGTTGAAATGGCTGAGAGGAGATATGTTAAAATTGGATGTGCAGCATAACTTTAGTGGTTGGTTGTGGGAGCATGCATAGGCTTCCATTAGATAGTGTTCTGAAGCTAAAAGCCATCCGTTTAAGCCATTGCAGCAAATGAGACAGAAGTAACCAGAAATCAAGCAATTTAAACATTTTAAGGTATATATTTAAAAACTCCAGGCATGGCATGGTTTAATAGTGTGGTTGATGCTGCTGAAAACTGTTTGGGTCTTCAATCAGTGGTTGCACAAGCTGGCTTCTAGAAAGCACAACATTTGAGTGGGGCTGGCCTGCTTTTACTGAAAAATGTTCCAAGTTTCACACAACTGCATCATGCATTAAGGCACTTAGTTCAGTGTGAGCACCAATTTTAGCCCATATTTTCAGTAATTGTGATAAGGCAAAAGCAGTTTCTAACAAAATATCAAAAAAACATCTTCCCCAAAACTATGTAGAAAATCAGAACAATTTGGGCCAGCCTGGGTTGATTGCATATGAGTGTGAGGTTGAGCATGCCACGCTGCATAGGTGTCTGGCACAGTTGATAGGATTCTTCGCAGACTGGGCACCTAGTGGTATTACACCCACTATGGAATAATTTGGGTTTTGAGGTGCATCAATGGCAAGGGGTTATGCTGCACCTGGCGCTCACAATCCTTAACCTGCCTAGATCATAACAATGCATACCATTAACAATGAACTTCATAGATAATTGGGGTAACCATGAAATGCTCAAGTTAAAGGCAACTGTTTTATACTGCTCATCAACAAAACTTATTCAAGTTACAAAATACGGTTTGAGCAATGATTCGGCATCATTCCAACAAAGGATATATTGCTCCCAAGGCGCTGAACCCACTACTCATTTAATAATTTGCTCAATAACAGGTTATTTCGCCCCGGCCTCATCGCCCATTACTTATCAGCACGCAACTGAACTTGACCTTTTCAGTGCTTGTTATGCAGGAAAACTTCGCTGAAAACCTTGTTCATCATTTATTTGCTTCTCGATGCACGTCACATAAGCATTCAAACCTAGGGAAGGCTGGAGGCTCTGCCACGAGCGGCCCCTTGCTGCCTCGGCCCCAAGACCATAAAATTTCGTTAGGCTTGTTTTTGGCGGCAGATTCGGTAGAAGCAAATGCGACGCAGGCAGAGAAATGGCGCAATGGGAGTAGCCATGTTCTAAAGAAAAGCTCAGAGTATAGACAATAAAGGAAATACTACGATACAAAGGAAATAAATGCACAGACAAAGAGTTAACATTGTTTTGGGCTTTCTAATAATTTTAGAATTAATTTGTATTAATGTTTGCCTCCAAATGCAATCTTTCGGCCTATCACCATATGCTTACCAGCCGCCATGCACCAAACGGGGTTGATCGTACATTTTTAGGCCAAAAACCTACCTTTGAGTACCAATATTAGTCTATCGGACAAAATGAATTGACGAAACGAACAAAATGCAAAATGTGTATGCGTGCACACTTCTTTAAAAGCGCAAAATGACATCAAACCGGCCAGATCTATCACATTATTGGATCATGCGAGACATCTCAACATCATGCCACGCAAGGCGTTGCATGACGTTGCATGACGTCGAAGCATTGACAAGAAACTTTGTATGAGTTATCGCTAAGGAGCTTTCAAAATATTAAATTGTGGTCGAGACTAGACGAGGCCGGTTGGGATGAGTAGGACGGTATGAAGCTGGACTGCCGTACAGAACCAAACAGAACCGGACGGAACCGAACGAGGTTGGACGGGACCGGACGGAATCCGGGCTGGGTGTGTGTGAGGGGGGAGAGGCGGGGCCGGACGGAAACGCGCGGAATCGGGTCCGAAATGGGACCAGATAAGATCGGATGTTAACGGACGGGACCTGATGTGACTGGACAGGACCGGGTGGAACGAGATCAAACCAGACGAGACCGGACGGGACAAGACGGGTTCGGACAGGTCCCGGTGGAGCCCGGCGGGACCAGGTGAGACCATACAGGATCAGCCATAAAGGAACGGGATCAGACGGGGTCGGAGGGTACCGGACGGAACCAAACGGCAACAGGCGTGACCGGAAGGAGCCAGACGGGGCGGATAAGTTAGAGGTGGAACCGGACGAAGCGGTCGGAACCGGACGGAACCGGGCGGGACTGGATAGGATCAGATGGTATTCGGCCCGGTCCCGCACAACTAAGCCCAGCCTAGCCCAGCTCAACCCAGCCTAGCCCAGCCCAGCCCAGACCAGTCTCAGTCCCGGTCCCAGTCTCGGGCCTGTTCTGGTCACGACTGGTCAGCCATGTTTGTGTTATGTTACGTTCGTTTCCATCCGGCCCTGGCCGGTCCTGTCAGGTGCCGTTCGGTCGCGTCTGGTCCCCCCCCCCCCCCCCCAGTCCTGCATAATCCCGGCCAGAGCTGTCAGGTCAAATTCGGTCCCGTATAATATCGTTCGATTCCGTCTCTTTCCGCCAGGTGTCGTACGTTCCGTTCGGCTCCGCTCGGTCACATCCGGTGCCGTTCAACCTCGTCGGTCCCATCCAGGCATGGGCATGCTCTGTGACTTGCTATTCGGTGCTATCCGGTGCCCGGTGTTATGTCCACGTGGTGTTGTCAGGCCCAGAGTCATCCTAAGAACTCACCTCGTCATTCTTTTCCTCCAAGCTTGACGACAGGGTCTCAACATTCATCGGACTCAATCGCCCAACGCTCAAATTATCATCCAGCGGCACCCTCTCGTTCCCAGGACCTCAAAGATCCACGCTCACACGCCGCACCCCGCATACGACGGCATGGCATGCCGAGAACAGGAGGCTCAACTTGGCCAGGTTGTATACATTCAAAGACACTAACTTCTCTAGTTGTGATGATATTCTTACTATAAAAGTTGAGCAGTTCCCACAACAGGTAAACAAATTTATTCTCTGGTTAAGATAACCCATTTGCAAACGTCTTTCCGCAGAGGATCAGTTTTCAGATATTTGCCTTCGTTGGTGCAAAGAAGTGAGAGAAGGATGTAAGATTATTGTATTTCGTTCATGATGTCCAGTTTTAGATAACATACCTGAATTGGCGTCCCTGTCTTACTTGGATTTTTTCATTTATATCTGCCATAGAATGGAAACAAAAACAAAAATATATTGCCGGTCAGCATTCCTCCAAACGCTCAATAGCTCAAGACAAAATGAATTTACACGAGCTGGACATAGTTCCGGTCATGAGGGCACACTGAATGGTGTATTCAAGGGCGCATCCAGCCAATAACTGCAGGGCTCTTTAGCTGCTGCTGGGCCCGTCAGAGTGAGTACCCCCCCCCCCCCCCCCAAATAAACTGTTCCCTTAAACCAGCTCGTAATGGCGTCTTGCAATGCACTGCGTCAGGCATTCTTGGCTTGGGTCTGCCGGGAGGGGGGGGGGGGGGGGTGAGGGAGCGGGGTCAGAGCGTTCACTGCCTTCTCACCTAGCAACAATCTCACCGAAAAGTACCTTGGTGCTTGAGTTTGTTTCACAACACAAAACATGGTTACGCATGACCCAAGTTACCGTGGGATTTCTGGGCCAGGTCCAGACCCTCCGCGCTCCGATAAACTAAACATATAAGATGCACGGGGGGGGGGGGGCAAGGGCCCATGGGATAGTTGTTTTTAATGTGCGCAGCGCGGAGAAAGGACCACACTGAATGAGGACGGTTACAACAAAGGCATTGTTTGCCAGAATACAATGTCAGACAATGCTAGTCCATGGCATCATTCTGGCTGCCCAATATACCACATCTGCCACTCCGAAGTAGACATTTGCCTGCAACCTGAAAAGATCCCAGAATCCCATTAACAAGGAGTCCCATGGGATCCTAGTTCTATCGTTGAGAACTAGGCATATGTCTGACCATGACCCACTTACCGTTCAGTAGGCCCATCCTATCCACCAAGGGCACTCTAGTCACTTAAACCGGCAATGACTGGGCTCTTCAGGGGCACACCAGTGACCGGAGGGGTAGATTTAACCTCCTGCTTATCTTAAAAACGTTGGGGCCAAATTCAGAACACATTTCACGTGATGACCTCACCGAGTCCTGATCAAATATGCTACACAGGAAAACATTCAATTTTACGCGCGCTGCACCAGGCCTAGATCCAACGTCACGTGCCGTGCGAAGGACAGCTGAAACCGTGGGCTATGTTGGTCTATTTGTTTCCGTCATATTTGAACTACCTAAACACGAAGGGGGAGAGCTTAGCCGCCGTTATAGACATGAGAGACGTGAGCAAAAGCTGTTACTCACTCACAAACCCTCTAAGGTCAAGGTCATATGGAAGACCTCCGTGCTGAATAATATGTTGGATGCGTGGTCATAGCGTGGTTCGTAATGAAGAGCCAGACTATACACTTGGGCGGCCCCGCATCATTCAACTGTGCGATGGAAAGCAATTTCATTTGCAGGCGTGACCTGGCAAAGTGAAGGGGCTGGAGGACCGAGACGACGTCAGGTCAGCTTAATCAAGATGAATAACTCAAGTCGTGACCGATTTCAATGCCTAGAATGGCGTTCGACAGCTCTGGTAACGCGTACACGTACCAGCTGCAATAAAAGCGATCACAATATATCTCTTGACCACTTTTTACGCAGATATGTAGATACGATTGCACGCCATTACCTGAATATACAAAACATACCAAACTAAACTCAACTGTGACTTTAGCCACGTGACTCATCTCAAATAACACATCGAGTGCCATGCGCTAACAGCCGGTCGCAGTCGCTTGCACAAGCGGCACACGTGGGGGCAGCGATGTTATGCCGGTCACAGACATACTTGGCATACTGGCAGCATGCCTTCTTCTTTGACGGCCGACTGTTGGAGCGCTTGCAGTCGGGCTGGCCAATCGGCTCCATTACGCAGGCCGCGCAGCGACCCCTTGATCTACGGGCCCGGGCTCACCTGGACACGGGCATTATGTGCTGCGATACATTTCAAGACGCAGCTCAGCCATCGTTGCAGATAATTGCTTGAAACTTGGAACATGTATCCTTCATAATCGTATCTAGAACACCCCTTCCCATGTTTACATCATTTGGAGTCTGAGGTCCAAAAATGTGAAGCGAACTTTTTATGAAACATGCAGATATTTCAATGTGCTGTATTGAGAAGAAAACGTAACGACAAAATCTATGAATGATGTATTCATCATTCATCATTCATCAGTCGACTCACATTTCCAGTTCGCGGATGTCAAACATATTATTTCGTTCGACTCCGCTGTCAATTTGTCTACGAATATGCAATTTTGTCAAAAATCGACGATCATGCCGTCACTCTGACGTCACTCACGTCCAATCAATTATTGTCTCATAGTCGTTATGCTGGCGCGAGGCGCGGAACTTGTCAATTGACATCTATTAAAAGCTTCGCGGTGAAATCTGAAAGCGTTTTTAAATTACCGTGAATATTGCACAGGTGGGCAAATCTGATCCCACCCCCAGTCAATGCCGGGCTAAGGACCCATGGGCACGAACGAAGAGCCATGAGGACCACTACTACACGCATGGTGCTATTAGCAAATCAGAACAAACCGCCAGAACCAAACGCAGTCGAGTCTTAATCAATGTCTACACGCCTCGCGCCGTTCTGTTTTGTATGCACTATTACTAACGTCATACCCCCTAAGCTACAAATTCCGAACTTTTACAGTCGCACACAAGCGACAAAAGTTTGTTCTTCCAAACGTTTGCTTACCTTAGGCTGAAGGATTTGGTTAGTTCCGTGTGATTTGTGATTTGGCGCCAACAACGGACCCACAGCCTGGCACGCACAACTTCGGATAGGAATCCACGGTCCCAGTCAACGGCAAATGGTGATTTGACTACGTGAGAATTCTCGCCAAAGTAAACGCAGATCCAATCAAACGCGGTCGTACCGCACGTCAAACAAATCACGGCAGGCTGATTCGGAAACCACTCTTCCACAAATGGTGTGCTCTAAATCCGAAGCGTTATACGACAACAACAAAATGCACCCAAGCGCTATTCCAAAAGTGACAGAGATTCAAGCTAAAGCATGTTAGCTTCGCGAGCGAGACGGTTTTTTTATATAATTGCAGTTCGATGTCAATATGGATG